CGCAATCGGGGAAGGGCGCCGCATAAACGGGAAGACGCCGCGACCACGCCGACGCGAAGAGGTCCACTTCGGGGCGCCCGAACGTCTGGCAAAGACAAAGGAAGGACTCGTCGTCGACCGTCCACTCCGTGGAGAGGGGAACGAAGCGAGACAGGGAGTCGGCCAAGACGTTGGACACGCCCCGTACGTGAACCGCCAGGAGAGCCAAACCCCGAGAAATCAGCAGACGAGTCACCCGAAGCGACCAACCCCAAAGAGACAAGGACCGCATCGAACCCCCGCGGTTCAGGCAATGAACCACCGGAGAGCAGTCCGAATGGAGCCGAATCGTCGATCCGCGGGCCACCCGAATCCTCCCCAGAGCAAACCACACTGCCGCGAACTCCCGCACCGTACTGTGAGCTCGACGGAAGGACGGATCCCAACGCCCCTGGCCGGCCTGGTGAGCACTGGTCACAAAACCCCAGCCGAGAGACGACGCATCCGTGTACACATCGAGCGAGGGCTCGGGTAGGCGCCAAGGCACTGAACCCCGAAAAACCCGAAGAGGAAGCCGGTGACGCAGCAACCGAGGGTCCTCCAGAAACAGACGAAGGCGGGACCGCAGCCGCAGGAGAGACTCCGGAGGGAGAGACAAGGAGGCGGTTCGAGAGTCCCACACGAGACCCAGCCAAGTCCGAACCTGAGAGGGAACCAGATGGGACTTCCTCCAGTTCACCAAGAACCCGAACCCGGCGAGCTGGGAAAGAACCAAATCCCTGGCTAGCAAGCAAGCTGACTGGCTGGGAGCCCAAACCAGCCAGTCGTCGAGGTAGGCCAACACCCGAACACCTAGGAGACGCAAACGAGCCACCACAACCCGTGTAAGGCGTGTGAACACGCGAGGTGCCAGGTTCAACCCGAACGGGAGACAACGAAAGCGGTAACTCAGACGCCCCACTACAAAACCGAGCCAGTCCCTGAACCGCGGATGAATCGGGACATGCCAATAAGCGTCCCGGAGGTCCAGGGACACCATCCAAGCTCCCGGCTCCAAGAGGAGCCGAACCTGAGACAGCGTAGTCATCCGAAAGGAGGGGCAATGAACCCAGGGGTTCAGACGGGACAAGTCCAGAATGAACCGCAGGTCCGCGCAGTCCCGTTTCGGAACCGGAAACAGACGGGAAACCCATCTGAGGGACGACGTCGTTTCGACGACGCCCAAGCGTACCCACTCCAAGACGACTCGACAGAGCGCAGGGGAAGAAGCCTGCCCTGCCAGCCCCGACCCCCCAAAGGGGGGAGGGGCCACCCAACGCCACCGCAGGCCGCGAGACACGACCCGAAAGGCCCACGAATCGTGGGACCAGGCGCGGGCGAACAGCGCAAGCCGCCCCCCCATCGCCCCGTCAAGGGGGCAAACCGCGAAAGGGCCGGCGACCCTTACGAGACCCAAAACCCCGTACAGCGCGAACACCGCGCCGACCAGACGAGGGAGGGTCCGCAGGAGGAGCCAACCCCAAACCTGACACCAGAGGCCTACCACGACGAGAGGAACCCCGAGCCCTGGCACGACCTCTCCGGGAAGACCCACCCCGGGACCCCCGGAAAACCAACAAGTCCGACATCGGACGACAAGCCGCCGACGCAGCCTGAATAAACTGCGCCACGGCCGACTCCCCAAACAGGAGAGGACAAAAAGGTGAAGAACGCCTAAGAGCCAGAGCCCAAGCAGATTCCACGGAGGAACCCAGCACCGCCTGCCGACACGCGAGACGGGAAGCATAGAACAGGGAAACCGCATCCCGCAAAATCGGCGTGAACAGCTTCAACAAGGCAGCCGACGAACGCGCAGCCGAGGACAAGGTGCCGGACCCCGGGACGGACCCAAGCGTCCCCACATCCTCCACGAGCCAATCGGAAGACAGCTCCAGGAGGGAAAAGAACCGCAAGGCCGAACACAAAAGGCCCCGAGCGCGCAAGTCCTCCGCCACGAGCGCCGCCGAAAGGGAGGGAACCTGCACATGGAGCTGAAGAACGCCCACATCGCGGGGAAGGGCAGGGGCAAACAAGCACTCATTCAGGTACACAAGTTCACCCCCCAGGAAAACCTGAAGCACCGTGGAAGCTTCCCGCCACTCCAGCGTGCGGGAACGACAGAAGGAATGCCAGGAATCCAGACCAAACAAGGGGCAGTCTGCTAGCCAGGACGACTCCGGAACCTCAGAACGGAGCCAGAAAGGGAATGAAGTCCCAAACCTGAACGTGGACGGATCCATTTCCGAGGCATAATCCGGGTCACGCAGGAGGTAAGCTGCAAAGGCCGCTCGCACCACACCAGGTTGGATGCGATAAGCCGAAAACCTCCGGAAGGACGGAACCGACGTACCCGGGGGAACACGGAACCGAACCCGGGGAGGGGCCGACACCAAATCCAACTCGTACGCAGAGGGGGGAAAGAAAACCCCACTCCTTGTAACAATAAGCCCCGCTCAGTGGGAAGAAAAACCCAGGCGGGGTCCAGCGGGGCCCAAGGCCCCCAAGTCAGCCCCTCCCCAGCCTCGAGGTCCGTCACCACAGGACCCGAGGCCGAGTCCTCTCCCCAAGCCCCGACCCCACAAGACAAGGACGGAGCAGCCGGAAAAGCTGGAGGAAGGGGGGCCCACTGGTCAGACCCTGAAGCTTCGGCCGGGAGACACGACTCGAATGCCTCTGCCGCCCCCCCGGAAGGGGCAACCCCCGAAGCTGCCCGAGTCTCGAGATCAAGTAACCCCTGCTCCGACCCCGAAACCCTCAGACGCTTTGGGGCCGGAAGCAGGGGGGGAGGACCAGAACAAACAGAAGGGGAAGGACGAGGAGGTGCGGACTGAACCAGGATCGAAGCGACCCCCACCTCCAAGTCCGGGTCTCGAAAAGCAAAGCGGGGCAGCCCCGGGGCATCCGGGTGAGCAACCAACCGAGCGCGTTGCAACAGACGAAACCTAGACTGCAACGCACGCACCGCCTGTACCCGAATAGAATCATCAGAGGACTGGGTTAATTGAGTCACAAGCAAGCAGCAACACTCACAGGACTCAGGGTCGTAAGTATCACCGACCCAACAGGCAGCGTGGCAGAGGCAAAAACAATGAGGGTCACCCTGAGACAAGGGGAATGAGCAACCCTCAAACTCGCACACAGCGAGTGGGGACTCCGAGGTCACATCCATCGGACCCACGCGCCCCCTAGAGGATTCCCAGGGTCCTGAGCATTTACTTTAAGAGGACTCGCGCTCAGGTAGTCCCAGGCAGGGTGCTGCAAACCGGCGCCCAAAACTACCAAGCAAACTTCTATAGCTGAACCCCAGGGACGTGTACACTCACGGGGACCTAGCAGGGGGCGCCACCGAGGAGAACAGTGGAAGGGCAAAAACAAACTGAATAAAATGACAGAACCCCCCACCAGGCAAAAAGAAAAAGAAAAACAAAACCCCGCAAGAGGACAGCGAACCCCAAGGAACAGAGCCGGCCGCGATGTCGGGAAATACAAGCTGAGCAGCACCCTGCGCCCCTACCAGTGCAAACTGCCTCTTACCTGCCGGTAACAAGGGAGAACAGAACACCCAAGAGCCCAACAGGCGGCCGAAAAACCGAAAGGTAAAACGGACCAGCAGAGGCAGACCCCGAGGAGCCTGTGGAAGGTGGCCCCAAGCCCCAAGGGCAGTACTTACAGGGCACCTAGGGAAGGCAGCCCTAGGCGCATGCAGCCCGAGTACTGAAGATAACTCCTGGCTCTCGCACCCACAAAACTAACACCACACACAAAGCACAGTGCAGTAGCGACACCGGAGCCAGAGCACACGACCATCGCCTATAGCATCAGCCTCAAGAACTGAGGTGTGGGTAGCCGGCGCGGGGGGTCTGGGGCTCCCCCTTCCCCCTCCCGGGGAGGGGGGAGCTGCGCAGACAGCGGCGCGGCAGTGTGTGACGTCACACTAGTTTGCTTGTTTTCGGTTGGGGAGTTCTATCCACTAGTTCGGTTTTAGGTAGCAATTTTAACCAGAATAGGGGTTTGTTTTGGGGCGCTTACCTTTCTGGGTGCCTGTTCCGGTCGATGGCAGACATAGAATGCTTCCAACTACACGGGGGCTTCTATAGGCCATTGCTCCCCTTGCCTCTCTGAGGGGGCCCGGTTCTGGCCGTGGTCCCCGGTAGGCCTAAGAACTCCATACACATGACTGATGCCAAAGTCTGACATTAGCATATCAGCCTGGGATAGCTCCGGGGAGCCGACGGGGCTCCCCCCAGAAAAGTATATATCATGTTCAAACCACAAAAAATGTTCTAGATACTGTATTCAGTGTTCCCATGATGTATGATATGGTATAGTGTACCATTGTCGAGAATAGGAAGACACAGACTTATTGAGTTTTGCTTAGCTAAGGATAAGGGTATGGTATGCTATTTTGGGGAGAGGATGATTTAGGCTAATTGAGGGTCACAATGGCAATGCTGTCTACAGTCACCTAGACCCCCCCCCCCTCCCAAGTGCTTAACTGACTGTGACATACACATCATTCACAAGATTCCTATTTTGAACGAGTTTTCTATATAAAACTTCTGTTCTTTCATTTATTACTTTCACTTCAATCATTTTGTTCTTAAATGAACAAAATTGATATTGCTTCCTAATTCAACTTCTTACCATGTCTTATTTAATGTTAAATTTATGTCTTTGAAATATATATCGACATAACCCCTTTCCTGAAAATACCGACTTGTAAATTATGATCAAAACTACAAATACCCACAGTATTAAACTCATAAGCATGCCTAAACTGCCTTATACATTTAATTGAAGAAACATTACACAAGCCAATGGGCAAACAAGCACTGAAGTACAATACACATAGCCTGTCTATACGTGTGTTAAACAAACCTGACATAACATGCTTCTCCTAATACTATGTAATGAAGAATCCTGCGTTAAGTTTAAGTGTGATGCTGGCAGTCATCTAGCCCTTTATGTTGTTACTACCTTACCTTCAATATTTTTCTACTCGTGATGTCAACGGAAGGTATAGGTGCTCTTGTCTTGGGTGGTGGGGGCTCTGGTGCCAAACTCAAGTCGAAGGTTGCCAGAGGTTTGTTTGAGCTCAATGATGATGATGATATTGGTGTGAAGGAGGAAGTTGTCCTGTGAATTTAATTGTTCATGTTATTCCAACCTACAGATAATAATTTTAAGGTAATAATATATACTATACAGTATATCTTGACTAGATTTCCACCGAGTTGTAACGTATATGACATTAATAATAATACGTATCCAGTACAAGTATTGTAGAATACCCAGTACTACAAAAGTAATCAACACTGGAACAACGACCATCAATAAAAAACCAGCGTTAAATATAATGAAACGCCATTTTCTGGGCGAGACCCCTGAGGGGTTTGCAGAGCTTACTAGGCAGATATGCTAATGTCAGACTTTGGCATCAGTCATGTTATGTGTATGGAGTTATGTGGGCCTACCGGGGACCACGAGCCAGAACTTAGCCCCCTCAGAGAGGCATGGGGAGCAATGGCCTATAGAAACCCCCGTGTGGTTGGAAGCATTCTATGTCTACCAATGACCGGGTTAGGCACCCAGCAGCCGATGCAAGGCCCTCGGAAGGCCGAACCCAGTAATCGTGAGAGAGGTGGAAGGGAGGTCCCCAAAGGAACCAGAACAGCCGACAAAGACAAACCCGACCCAGCGGGTAAACTATCATCGCAAAGTTCAGGCTCCTGCACAAACCCTCGAGCAACCTCTGGGTGACCCGGGAGCCCCCAGAAACAGGCGCAAGCGAGACTGCAGCCGGAGGAGAGACTCCCAAGGAAGAGACAAGGAAGCGGTCCGAGTCCCACACAAGACCCAGCCACAAACGAACCTGGGAGGGAACCAGATGGGACTTCCTCCAGTTCACCAAGAACCTGAACCCGGCATGCTGGGAAAGAACCAAATCCCTAGCTAGCAAACAACTGGACCAGCTGGGAGCCCAAACCAGTCAGTCGTCGAGGTAGGCCAACACCTGAACACCTAAAAGACGCAGACGGTCCACGACGACCCGCGTAAGGCTTGTGAGGTGCCAGATTCACCCCGAATAGGAGACAACGAAAGCTGTAACCTTGACGCCCCACAACAAAACCGAGCCAGTCCCTGAACCCAGGATGAATCGGGACGTGCCAATAACTGTCCCGGAGGTCCAGGGACACCATCCAAGAACCAGGCTCCAACAGGAGGCGAACTTGAGACAGCGTGGTCATCCGAAAGGAGGGACAAGTCCAGAATGAACTGCAGGTCTGCACAGTCCCATTTCAGCACTGGAAACTCATCTGCAGGACGATGTCGTTTCGACGACGCCAAAGCGAACCCGCTCCAAGACGAAAGGGCCGGTGCCCCTTACGAGACTCAGAACCTTGCACAGGGCGAATACCGCGCCAGCCAGACGAAGGCAGGTCCGAAGGCAGAGCCGAGTCCAAAACTGGTACCCGTGGCCTACCACAATGAGAGGAACCCCGAGCCTTGGCACAACCCCTCCAGGAAGGCGCTTCCCCCCCCCCCCCACGGGACCCGCAGAGAATTAACAAGTCAGACATAGGATGGCAACTGGCCGAAGCAGCCTAAATATACTGCGCCACGGCCGAAGGAGCAAAAAGCAGTGGACAAAAGGGGCAAAGACATCCATATTTTCAGAAATTGATATTAGAAAATTTTTTGAAAAATAAAAACATTTTGTTGATAAGGAGAACAGCTCCTAATTGGAACTGAAGGATTATGCAGTAATAAAGAGATGCAAGCACCTGTCCGCTGCTCACAGAAGAAGAACAGTAGTAAAAAAGTTTCCACAAAGTGGGTATAGAATTCTCTACAGGGGTATATGCATATAAGGTCTAAAAGCCCGGTGTGACTCCCCACAACAAAATCTAAAGTTAGCCAAGTTACCCATGAACGAGCACCAATTGGCACACCTGCACTTATGTACAGTATATACTCGTTCAGTTTGATAACATAAATTTTCGTGCTACGTGTTTCATCTTGGTATCAAATTGTTCACAAAATAAAGGCACGTATTTTAAAACTAGTTCCATAAAAATAGAACAATAAATGGAATTTTAACAAATATTTTAACATTTGGACGCTCATCACCACAAAATTATTTATATATTTCCAGTATTCTGACAAATTTTGGTGTTGCTTACGCTGTCGAGACAAGAGTTTAAATACTGGTGGAAAACTTTCCCATTCTATCACAGATTACAATTAATAATTTGCTCATATGACAAGTTCGATCACACAAGTGGACCGCACAAGTGGTCCACAAGTGGTCCACAACCTTATGATGTTGGGACAGAGTGGTGGAAAACTTTCCCATTCCATCACAGGTTACAATTAATAATTCCTTCATATGACAAGTTGGATCACACAAGTGGACCACACAAGTGGACCACACAAGTGTGGTCCACTTGTAAGCTTGTAAGCTTGTGGACCACAAGTGATCCACAAGCTTACGATGTTGAGACAGAGTTCACAGAGTGGTGGAAAACTATCACAGATTACAATTAATAATTCCTTCATAAGACAAGTTGGATCACACAAGTGGACCACACAAGTGGACTATATGAACCAAACACCAGCCAGAATGGTCCACACAAGAAGTGACGCATATTAACCAAACACCAGCCAGAGTGGTTCACACAAGTGAACGACTGAGTTTCAATGATTTTTATTCACCGATTTGTGGCACACGTATCTTTGTAAATTAATTTAAAGGCTGAAGCGTGAATAGCTAGCTAATGTGTTGAAATCTTATATACATTTTCTGTAATGAAACAAGATGAGTATGGGTGGACAGATATGGGAATACTGTACAGTAAACCTCACTTTACAGCGAGGTTTCACTCACTTTCGTCTGTGTCGTCATAGTTCTGACCCATGACTTTGAACGTTTCAGATTAATAAATCATTTCTAAAACTTACTTTATTCTTTTGAATAAAGACAAGTTTTGCTGCCTTATGGCAGCAACTCAGTAACTCAGAGCTGGATTGAATATTCTAGCACCAAAATATCCTTGCACAGCCATTTGAAAAGTTTCCTTTGCAAATTGTCAATTGTCCTGACTGTAACACCCCTGTCCTAATGACCCAAAAGGATGATGTATGACGAGGCAATAACTAATTATAGTCATTTTACTTGTTGTAAACTGCCAAAAAAATAAAGTATTGAACAGGATTCTTACCTTGTCTGACTTGAAGTCCCAGAAAGAGTTGTGTGTTTACCATCATTATAATCCTTTTCTTTAATAAGTGATAATACAGGTAGGAAAAGGCCTCGAAAATTTGGACAAGTAAATAAATGGCGACCATTCCAGGAACCATCACAGCCATTGACCATATCAGAATCCTTAAAAAAAAAAATATGAAAATATATTAAATACTACAAACTCTTTTGTATAAATACAATAAAATCCTGCTCTCTGAAACAAGTATTTCCATAGTAATTTGATACAAATATTATTTTAATTTATTAATACAGTACAGTAGGCATTCACACAACATGAAGAATGTGTTCTGTGAAAAACTTTATGCTGTCCGAAATCACTCAGTATACAATGATTACAGACATAACTGTGTAGAACCATGATATGAAAAACTTCTGTAATCCCTTCCACTTTCTTCCAACAAGTCCAGCCATCCCTAACCCACCTAGGGTAAACATGATCCTATTCCAATCATCCCCCTAGAACCACCACTCCCACAAACATTCCCAACAATCACACAAAGACAAATCTCACATAAACACCAACATGCCAACGCCAGAGTGGTAGATTTTGGAACAAGTTAAGTGAAAAGGTGGAAGCCAAAACAGTCAGTAGTTTCAAAACATTATACGACAAAGAGTACTAGAAAGACTGGACACAACGAGTGTAGCTCTCATCGTGTAACTACACTTAATTATTAAGTACGTACAATATATATATGGAAATAAATTGCCATCCACAATTCCGTGGAAATAAACATTCCATTCACCTAGACTGTATGGGTCTCGAACCGTAGACCCTACACATGTGAGGCCTTAGCACTATCGACTTGCCTATGAGCAGGTATATTATAGTGGTCACCAGAGGCAGAGGCACGACCGCACCAGAACCCATCAGCCTAAGAACTAATGGTTGGGTCGCCAACGGTGGGGTCTGGGGCTCCCCCCTTCCCGGGAAGATGGGGGTTGCGCAGACAGCAGTGCGGCGACATGATGACGTCATGGTTGTTTGCTAATTTTCGTTTGGGGAGTTCTGTCTACCTGTTCGGTCTTCGGTCGCAATAGTTTACCAGAATAGGGGGTTTGTTTTGGGGCGCCTACCTTTCTGGGTGCCTATCCCAGTCGATGGCAGACATAGAATGCTCCCTATCATAAGGGGGTCTCTATAGGCCATTGCTCCTCGTGCCTCTCTAGGCCAGGTTCTGGCTCGAGGTCCCCGGTAGGCAAGAACTCCATGCATTGACTGATGCCAAAAAGTTATACGTATCCATTCAGCCTGGATAGCTCCGGGGAGCCGACGGGGCTCCCCCCAGAAAAACACAGACAAAAAGGACAGAACCACCAGAACTGACCAAAAAAAACAAAAAAAAGGGGAGGGTGGGACAGAAAGAGGTAAAACAAGCACCAGGCAACTTTATGCTAACTCTGTGAAGAAAGATGCAAGAATGACACCAACAACCCAACAATGGTGTTTGATCAGCATCATAAACACCAAACATAGAAAGCAGAACAGGTTGAACCAGCATGGATAATGGGAACCTCCAGAAATATGACAAATTTGAAGAACCAAGCAGAACCTGGAAATGATTCCCTGGGGAAACAGCCAAGTAATCAAGCTCATACATTGAAAGGGAACAGGAAAAGTCCTTCCCTGGCACAAAACACACACAGCCAATGCAACTAAAGTCCAGGCAGGATTGAAGGATATGCATGGACACCTCATCAGGCTCTACCCTGGCCTTGGAAGCCAACCATGATGGCCCCGGTGTGGAACTGTATTCTGTACCCAATGCTGAAAAAGAAAGACATCATTCCAAGGAGAAGGACCAGAGCAAGGTAACGGTTGTACAGGCAAAGGCTCCAAATCCCCAAAGGGTAGGGATGGCTGCCACCCTTTGGGGCACAATATTTACGTATGTAGCTTAGCCTAACATTTTAAAAGCACTACGATCGCCTTCTGTGGTTGTTCAATAAATCTCTGAACTGTATGTTTGACAAATCTTTCACCCTGTCCATGGAGGACAGAAGAAAACGTATATATGCTAGTTAGCATTGTAAATGTGTGACCACGTCTGTGGTAGAAAATAATAAAAAAAAAAAAAAAAAAAACTTTGGGGATATTTGGGAGCTCATAGGATGGGGATTTGGGAGCTTTAGGAGGATGGAGCGTGTAGGCTCCACGGGATGGAACAACCACCCAAAGATGGCTAAATAACCCCCAAGCTAAACCCTACTCTCAGATGCTATAAAACTTGGAAAAAGCAGCAAACATGCTTTTCTCTTTTTTTCTCATCCACTCTCTTCTCTGGCCAAGGCATAAGTGAGCTTTAGCCAATCACAAGAGCCAACCTCTGGGCATCACACAAGCAGGTCACTTCTCATTGGCTGACAGTGGCATCATTCCTGAGATGTCACCATAGAGCACAGACAAATGTCTTCACTTTCCAGAGCCGGTAAATAAACTACCAACTCTGGACATCAGAGGTTGTATCCTTAGCCCAAGGACATAATAAACTATCGACTCTGGACATCAGAGGTCGTATCCAGAGCCCAAGGAAATAAAAAATGGCAGTAATTTAAAAATTGTTGATACTGTATTTTTAAGTCCACTCCTACCTACCTTCTACACACATGCTCTACTAATATATATGGGTCATAAGCCATACAGAGTATAAGTGTAGAATAACTTATATTGGGTGAGGTGGATCTTAAGAAGGACTGGCAACTTATAATAGGATATGGTGATGCATCCACACAAAACCCTCACAACAAGAAAGAGTGGAAGGTCGTCCTGATGTCTCAGAGCATCCCCCCCCCACCCCCACAATAATAGACCCAAATGTTGGATCACTCAGCCCCCTGTGGTCTACCAAAATGTTCTATGAATTGTGCCGTGAGAAGCATTTAACACGTAAGATCTTATACTAATGTGTGAGGTAGCATGATGCATTAATATATTTTGGAAGAGTTTTCATGTTATATGGAGACACTTGATACTGGATGCCTTTCCCCATGACTGATCACTGTCAACCTGTGTTTGGCAGCTTTACTTTGGAACCACTAAGCATTAAGATTTTATGTTAATGTGCAAGGTAGCACGGCATATCAGCATGGTTTGACGAAGCTTTCGGTTCCTTTGAATATACATGGTTTTGTTGGTCAACCACTGAAATTAAGGCTTACATAACAACTATCATCAGCCACACCATTTTTTTTTTCATTATGCACATTTTATATATTTACCCTTGTTATTCTAGGGCCTAAAAATCCTAAATCAACCTGAAAAACAAAAAATAAAGTACTGTACCGTACTGTAAATAAAATAAAACATTACATTTGAAAATTAAGAAAATCCATTAATACTTTTGTAATAAGTATCTACACAGACAAAAAATTAAAATGTTGATTCCTGTTGTTTATTTCATATTTCATCATGGTATTACAGAAAATGTTAAGAGTTCTTGATTCTTTTGGGGTTTAATTGTATCCATTGATGTAAACACTAGCTCTTTTTGTTAACCACAGGTGACTGATGATGTGCATTCACAATTTTGCCCTACACCACTATTGTTTATCCCTTAACGTTACATATAGAGAAAAAACTTACGAATTCCACTCCAACAGTCCAGTGATTGCCCATCTCTGGAATTTTGCCAATCCAACTGACTGTACCATGGTGGGGACTATGTTCACAAGGCTCCTCTGCCCCAAGTCGTGCCAACTCTCCAAGCCAAACTACCCGCTCCCCTACTAGCACAGGGGGGCGGTATGTCCATTCTCTGTCCATCTGATGGTCCTGAAGAAATAATAGCCAGAGAATGTTATACCTAAAAATGCTACGCACACATATTTCAAATTTTACTCTACACAGTACTGTACTAATTATTAAGTATGAAGATGTATCAGTTAGAGAGTATTCAGCAACTTCATTCCCTTTGACTCATTTTAAATACAGTACTGTAATGTATACAAATTCCTTAAATAAACTTATATATAAGTAACAAGATGCAGAATTATTCTTTCAACTTCTGATGATGGTATAAAATAAGAATTATAAATAATAAAGGGGGATAATATTTCCAAAAAAAACATGCTTATAGTTCCCAGAAAGCAGAACAATTGAGCAGCCATCAGAAACTGCGGCATCCCTTGGCGAGTCCCTGGGGAGCATAATCATACAAACACCTATGATGGACGTCACATGAGGCGCTCTGCCAGACATGTAAACACAAGCTCCTCGAATCTTGTTCAGAATATTGTTTACAGCACCTTCATAAAGGATGTAGGTTGTAGTGGTAAGGTTCAACCTAAGAAAATAGTTGTGAGTAGAGGCAGTAGAGGATGTCCCTTCCTCATCAAGAAAATGTGTGAAGTATGGGAAGAACTGCAAAGTTTTGTTGAAAAAACTCACCCAGATAAAGCTGTAGCAGGCTGTTGCATTGACCTTTTAAATGACAATGTGATGTCTTACTACAGATAAGTGTTAAAATGTAGGGAAAAACAAGTGTCTTTAGACAGATTCTTAGTAAGATAAGCAAGCAGTGAGCCACAAGCAGGTCCTAGTGGTATGCGGCAAAACGTGCCAGAGAGTGCACACCAGAAAAGTCCTCACTGCCTGATGTTATAATGGAAGGGGACTCCCCTGCAAACAGTAACACCTCTCCTCCTCCTCATCTTCCATACGCCAACAGCAGTCATCAGCAAGGGTAAGTAATAACTTGAACATACTTTTGTAGTGTAGATTTAGATGAATTAGGTATAAAATTTAGTTTGAAATGAGGTTTTTCAGTAGTCAGGAACGGATTAATTCATTTCCCATTACTGAGCATTTCTTATGGGAAAACTAGCTTCGGTTTACGAGTTTTCGGGTTATGAGCCATCTCCAGGAACGTATTAATTAAACCGAGGTACCCTTGTATATCTTTCTGGCATCAGTCAATGCATGGAGTTCTTGCCTACCGGGGACCACGAGCCAGAACCTGGCCCCCTCTAGAGAGGGGCACAACGAGCAATGGCCTATAGAACCCCCTTCCCCCTGTGGTTGGGAGCATTCCAAGTCTGCCATCAACCGGGATTGGCACCCAGAAAGGTAGGCGCCCCAAAACAAACCCTTATTCTGGTAAAAGTATTGCGCCCGAAAGCCAAACAGGTAGACAGAACTCCCCAAATGAAAAATAGCAAACTAGCATGATGTCATGTCGCCGCTCCGCTGTCTGCACAACCTCCCCAACCCAAGGGGAAGGGGGGAGCCCCAGACCCATCCGCCAGCGACCTAACCTACAGTTATACATATAACCTACAGGCTGGATGTCAAAAGTGCGAAAAAACACCGCCAGCCTGAGGGAGGGAAGGAGGGATGCCGGGGAGCCTCCGGGACTCACCCAGAAAATGACGTTTCATTACATTCAACGCTGGTTTTCTGGGGGACCCTCATTGGCTCCCCGGAGCTAACTACACAAAGATAAGGAAAAACAGGGACTTACCCAGGAGGCAATTCGTCCTCACTCCTTAACTCGAAATCGATAAAACTGACTGCAACCGCCAACCCAAGGCAACACAAACCCTACCAGGCCCTGGAATATTCACCAGGTAGCGAGCAGCCAGGACCCTGTTCAACCTCTAAAAACCCCGGGCCCGAATGTCAACCCAAGACATGTTGCCAAACACGGCAGCCAAAGCAGCAAACTTACGCAAGTCGCGGGCACGGGAATAAACCGCAGGCTGGCTAGAGTTAATAAACCTGCCGACAACCTGAGAGACCCGAGCCCGGGAACAGGGAAGAAGGGAAACCGGGTCAACCCAAAGCGCATCCCCAGCCACCAAAGTCGTGGCACACAAATAATGGTGGAGAGCCACAACCGGACACAACACATGATGCACCCCCAGCCTGACCAAACAAGCATCAACACCCAAGGCCCCCTCCAAAATGCAGCCGTTTCATTCTTCGCCAGAAAAGGAGGAGACGGCTGCAACCAAACAAAACGACCACCAGGACCGAAGAAGCAGAAACCCCTGTGCCGGAGGAAAGCATAAAGCTCCCCGACCCGACCCAACCCCCAGAGGCCAATGCCAACAGGAAAAAGAGCTTTAGCACGATCCGAGGCAACAGTATTCAGCATAAGATGATGGTCCTGGAACAACCAAGAGAGAAAGGACAGAGCAACCCTATCAGACACCAAAGAATACCTACGCACTGATAGGAAGAACCGGAAGGACCGCCAGGAAACTTCATACTGTCGCCGAGACGAAGCACACAGGTGGGAGATCAACAACGAAGCCACCTGCACACCCTACAAGTGATGAAAAACCTGAGTTAGAAACTCCAGACGCAAAGACTCAAGAAGACCGAACCAGCCTCTTACCGGGCTGGACCAATCCGCTGAAAAAGGATGAGCCGCTGGAAGACCCTCAGGTTCGGACACCGAGCAAGCAGTGCCTGAAACCAAGGCTGGGCCGGCCACCAAGGAGCCAGAAGGACAACTCTTCCCTGGTAAGTCTCCAAGCGAGCCAGGACCTGGAGCAACAGCTGAACCAGAGGAAAGAGGTACAGATAATCCCACCTCGTCCAGTCCTGCTTGAAGGCGTTAACCCCAACGGCCTCGCGCCACATATACAGTACTGGGAGACGCCTCGAGCACGCTGACTCAAAGAGATCCACGTCCGGAGTCCCGAACGTCTGGCACAGCCAAGGAAAAGAGTCGGCGTCGACCGTCCATTCCTTTGAAAGGGGAAGGAAACGAGACAGGCCGTCCGCCAGGATGTTGGACACCCCCCGAACGTGAACTGCCAGGAGAGCTAAACCCCAGCAGATGAGTCACCCAAAGCGACCAGTGCCAGGGACCAGGGACCAGCCAGGGACCACATCAAACCCCCTCGGTTCAGACAATGAACCACCAGGGAGCAGTCCGAATGGGGACGAATCGTCGATCCACGGGTGACCCGAACCCTGCGAAACACAAACCGCCGCGAACTCCCTCACCGTGCTGTGGACCCGACGGAGGGACAGACCCCATCGCCCCTGGCCGGCCCTGGTCACAAAGCCCCAGACGAGAAACGACGCGTCCGTGAACACACTGAGCGAGGGCTCGGGTAGGCGCCATGGCACTGAACCCCGAAAAACCCAGAGGAAGCCGGCAACGCAGCAACCAACGCAAGGCCCCCGGGGGTCGAACCTAGCGATCGTGAAAGAGGTGGAAGGGAAGTCCCTGAAGGAACCAAAACAGGTGACGCTGCCAAAGTTGACCCAGCGGGTAGACCAACATTGAAAAATTTAGGCTCCCGCAGACCCTCGAGCAACCGCCGGGTGACCCAGAACCTCCCAGAAAACAGCAAAGGCTGGACTGCAGGCGAAGAAGAGACTCCGGAGGGAGAGACAAGGAAGCGGTCCGGGAGTCCCAAACAAGACCCAGCCAAGTCCGAACCTGGGAGGGGACCAGATGGGACTTCCTCCAGGTCACCACGAACCCGAACCCGGCAAGCTGGGAAAGAACCAAACTCCTGGCTAGCAGAAATGCAGACCGGCTGGGAGCCCAGACTAGCCAGTTGTCGAGGTAGGCCAACACCTGAACACCTAAAAGACGCAGACGAGCACCACGACCTGCATAAGGCATAAGATGTGTGAAAATGCGAGGTGCCAGATTCAATCTGAACGGGAGACAACTAAAGTGGTAACTCTGACGCCCCACAACAAAACTGAGCCAGTCCCTGAACCCCGGATGAATCGGGACATGGCAATACGCTTCCTGGAGGTCCAAGGACACCATCCGAGCAGCTGGCTCTTAACAGAAGCTGGATCTGGGACAGCGTAGTCATCCGAAAGGAGGGGCAATGAACCTAGGGGTTCAGATGGGACAAGTCCAGAATGAACCGCAGGTCCGCACAGTCCCGTTTTGGGACCGGAAACAGGCAGGAGACCCACCTGAGGGACGTCGTCATTTCGACCACGCCCAAGCGAGCCCACTCGAAGATGACCTGACAGAGCACAGGGGAAGAGGCCTACCCCACCAGCCCCACGCCCCCCAAAGGAGGAGGAGCCACCCAACGCCATCACAGACTGTTCGAGACGACCCGATAAGCCCACAAATCCTGAGACCAGGTGTGAGCGAACAGAGCAAGCCTCTCCCTATCACCCCATCAATGGGACAAACCGTGAAAGAGCTGGCGCCCCTTATGAGAACCTAAGCCCGCACAAAGCAAACACCGCACCGACTAGGAGGTGGTGGTTCCGAAGGAGGCGCCGGCCTCGAAACTGGCACCAGTGGCCTAACCCGACGAGCGGAACCCCGAGCCCAAGCACGACCCCTCCGGGAAGGCCCCGCCCCCGGAGAACCAACAAATTAGATATGGGGCGACAACTAGCCAAAGCCGTTTGCAGATACTGTGCCATAGCAGAATCTGCAAACAGCAAGGGGCAGAAGGACGAAGACAACCTAAGAGCAAGGGCCCAGGCATATTCCAGGGAGGAAGCAAGCACCGCCTGCCGACACACGAGCCGGGAGGCATAGAACAGCGACACCACATCCCGCAGGATCGGCGCAAACAGCTTCAACAAGGCAGACGATGAGCAAGCCGCCGAGCCCAAGGCACTGGACCCAGGAACGGCCCCAAGCGCCTCCAAATCCTCCCCAAGCCAGTCCGAAGACAGCTCAAGGTGGGAAAAGAAGCGCAATGCTGAAGCCAAGAGGCCATGAGCGCACAAGTCCTCAGCAACCTGCACAGCCGAAAGGGAAGGAACCTGCTCAAGGAGCTGCACAATGCCTACATCCCAAGGAAGGGCAGAAGCAAACATGCACATCATTGAGGTGCTCAAATTCGCCCCCCAGGAATACCTGGGACCACCGTCAAAGTCTCACGCCACTCAAGCGTGCGGGACCGACAGAAGGAATGCCACTTCTCCGAACCAAAAACAGGCAAGTCCGCCAACCAGGACGACTCCGGAGCCTCATACCGGATCCAGTAGGGAAACGAAGACCCAAACCTGAATGAAGACGAATCCACGATTGAGGCATAATCTGGGTCACGCAGGAGGTAAGCCGCAAAGGCCGCACGCACCACACCAGGTTAGATGCAGGAAGCTGAAAACCTCCAGAAAGACAGGACTGAAGCACCCGAAGGAACACGGAACCGAACCCAGGGAGGGGCAAACAACAAATTCAACTTGTACGCAGAGGGGGAAAAGGAAAACCCCCTCTCCTTGTAAAAATAAGCCCTGCTCTGAGGGCTGAAAAACCCAGGGAGGGGGGGGTCCAACGGGGCCCAAGGCACTATTTAGCGGGTCGTATTCCGGGGAAAATTAGGATGAAGGACCTGCTCAAAATGCTGTGCGTGCAAGAGTGTAAGAACTCTTGTATGTACAGGTAGGTGGGTGTGGATGTATATATGTATACAAATAAAAATATACAGTATATATAAAGAACAATACTTACCATACATATCCAAAAACAGTAATGTGTGTTCATGTACACGTATTGATATGCACAAAACTGTAACTATACTGTATATCCATAGTACTACACTTTCTTCATACAGTACTGTATAATGACAGGCTGGAGTATTTCACTTCCTTACACACTCCCATGTTTGTACTCATACATATACAGTACAGCAGAGTATCTGGAAAATAACATTCATTCCGGGTACTGGTGATAAGTAAGGGAAATCTTTCACTTTTCCTTCATCTTTTTTACCAGTAATCATGTTTTCAAATAATAATATACTGTAATTATTTTTTCAAACTTTTATTCCAATACACTAATGGACATTATATCACTACTGTATCTTAGGTGCAGTACAATAAACTCAACACTATAGATTCACTAAGTAATTACCTAAGTGTATTGTGTGGTATACCAAGCATCTCATTAAACTTCTAAATCTCCTTAGAAGGATATTTTGGCTCTGAGAAGGGCCGAGTTTGTTGTATAAATGGTGGTTGATTTAAATTTAATGGCTCATACATCCTTATTGTGTTAGGCTTTAGGTGAGGATAGATAAGGATAGTGTCAATTAGCTAGGCTAGATTAAGTTTGGGTGAGGTTTAGTGGACCACAGGTGGTTTAATCACTTATCAGTGCTTACCTATCAGTGACTATAGGGGAGTGAGACCTAGCTCGGTATGCCCCACCTCCTAGCCATTTATACCAGGTGTACTAATTACCTCTGTCAATGCTAATGTTTTCACGGCTAGTGCCGTGTTTCCTTCTCTTTGTATTTTAAATATTGAATAATCTGCATTTAAATAACACAGTGGCAGCGGAAGCATTTAGCAAAGGTATTCATACCTTGGTAGCCCTGTAATCAAACAAATATCTGAAACATAAGTATTAGTAAATATAATGTCTTCTTTAGTAGTTACAGTACTTATTCCATGTATTAAATACAAATTACACTTCACATCAACGATTTGGCTTACAGTTGAAATTTGAACTTTAATAAAACACTTGATATTGCTTTGTCTTCCAGTGTTGCAACTTGTTCCAATGTAAAATAGTACAAAACCAAGAGTTTTGATAACAGCTGAATGCAGTATATAAAAAAAAATCAAACCAACCCCATATTTCTTTCCTTCTTCAATGTGCAAGCACGTCTGGGCCACCTGTGTCAAGAGGAAAGTGAGGGGGAGTGGAAAAGAGTGAAGCACAGGTAGTCGGGAGAGAGAACTGCAAGAGGTAAACAAACCCCCTCCACCTCACGCGCACCTTAAAGCTGAACTGTTACTTCGCCCTCATACTGCCTCGTCATATTTCCAAATACAATACAGTACATAATGTTATCAGTTAGATAGCTACAACTTTAACTGAAATATCATTTATTTTTACCCTCTAAGTGTGCAATAGCTTTAAAAGCTGGATTTTACCATTTTATACCAATATGCCTTTGTATATACAGTACAGAATAAGTTTTGGCATTAACAAAAAGAAAATAATTCATACATATGTTGTGTTGTAGAATTCTGTTCTTCCTAGATCTAACTTATGCTAATTGAACAATCATTATGATACAATACTCAAAACTATGAATTATATATGTATGACTTTTTATGTACTTATAGTACCATACTGCAGAGTATTACAGTACTTATATACCATATACATAAAAAAATGATAAGAGCTACATAGAAATTCTATTTTATAATGTCAATATACAATACCTCCCCACTCCATGAAAGAGGGAAATGGGGTAATGATAGTGTGGACATGTGTATGCCCACCCAATATACTTACACTTTCAGTTTGAGCTTAAAGCAGTTTTCAACACCCACAACATGACAACAGCAATGTAAAGAGTTACTTAAGGACAAAAAATAACAAAAGTAGCAGTTTCTAAATAGTATGCTTAATTAGGTATCACATATTTTAGTCTGCCATATGAAAAGGCTCTTTAATGCAGGTTTGGCTTCATGAAGAAGCCACTTGATGCAGGTATGGCTACATAAAGCCATTTGATGCAGGTGTGACTGCATGAATAAGAAGTTTGATGCAGGTGTGGCTGCACAGAGGCAGTTTATTTTAGGTGTGGCTACAGAAGAGGTCAATTGATGTAGGTGTGACTGCATGAAGAGGCCACTTAATGCAGTTGTAGTTATATGAAGAGGATGACTGATACAGGTTTAGCTACATGAAGAAGCCAATTGATGAAGATGTGGCTACATGAAGAGGCCACTTGATGCAGGTGAGTGGCCACATGTAGATGTGGCCTAAATAAGAACCCATATGATGCCACTTTATGCAAATGTGGCCATATAAAGAAGCCAAATGATGTAGCCATGACCAAAATACATAGGTATGGCTATATGTAGGTGTGGCCACGGAGGCAACATGATGCAGCTGTGGCCAAACAAAAATGGCACTTTAAGCAGGTGTGGTCATGAATAGGCCACTTTAAACAGGTGCTCACATTTCTTACCCGACAATAGTTCATTGACACTCGACACTTCCATAGAAGGAAGCCTTTTCGATACATAAATATGCAACCACTCGAGGTGAAAACCAGGTAACGGACGGCAAGACAGGAACTACCACTTGCCCTCAGCCATAATGGATTCACTACGTTTGAGCTGGGAAGGCCTAAACTCTGGGTGGAACTTATACAAACGATCATTAAACATGTGCAACACTGGGCAGGTCCTCATTTAGAGAGTGATTCACAGGCTTCCACCCACCACTCGCTAGACAGGCCCGAGGCAGCGGGCAACCCACATTTCATCTTCCTCGCCTCTCCTGCCTTCACTGTCAACACTAATAACAGCTCATGGGTCCTTGTTACACTATATATCAAATATTAATCTTACAAAGCGCTACACATTGGGCATCTGTCCTTACCCTTCCAAAAATAAACACACAAACATTGCGGATTAACTGAGTCGATGGTTCACTTTTCGTCATATAATAATAGGTAAGAATAATATAGAAAATAAATGAAGTTTTCAGAAACTACAGTAAATATAGCTTAGATTTAAAAATGTAATATGTATGTACAGATTTTATTTCATAATTATGTATGTATAGATTTTATTTCATAATATATATATACTTAAATATACTTAAATAATAAATTAAAACTAGCTGTGTAAGGTCTCCATATAAGTGGAAAACAACATAAATAAATGTATGTGACCAGAATGATGACAAGGACAAGGCAGCTAAAACTGCATGTGATAAGCCTGAAATTGAATTAGATATGGGTTCCAATTATCTGCTGTAAAAAGATGAGTTAGCCAAAGAATCTGCCTTTAAAAGGAGAAATTGAGTATAACCTTGGATTGCCAATAAGCAGTCTGAGAGCAATAGTACACCAAGAACTTCAACAAAATCTTGTAGATCTGAGGCAAAGTGAAATCAACACCAGTAATTCCATCTATCATCATACTATCATGCAATAGTATGATGACTATTGCATTATTGCAATTGGCCCATACGTGGCAGCTCCTATCTATAACCACCCAATACCACTCATATACATGTCCAACCCGCGCTTGAAACAATTGAGGGACCCCACCTCCACCACGTTACGCGGTAATTGGTTCCACAAATCAACAACCCTGTTACCGAACCAGTATTTACCCAAGTCTTTCTTAAATCTAAATTTATCCAATTTATACCCATTGTTTCGTGTTCTGTCTTGTGATGATACTTTTAATACCCTATTAATATCCCCTTTGTTGTGTCCATTCATCCACTTGTAAACCTCTATCATGTCACCACCTAACTCTTCGCCTTTCCAGTGAATGCAATTTAAGCTTTGTTAATCTTTCTTCATATGAAAGATTTCTAATTTGGGGAATTAACTTAATCATCCTACTCTGGACACGTTCAAGTGAACGTGTCCAGTCCCACTCTGACTTAACCCCAATTATACTAACTCTCTATTTCCTTTGGTACAGCCATGCCCTAATCCAACTTAATATAGCACCCCCAATACCATGAGCCTCTATCTTTTTAACCAGTCTTTCATGTGGCACTGTATCAAAAGTTTTGCTAAAGTCAAGGTACACAACATAGCAAACCTTACCACTATCAAATGCCTCAACTATGCTGGAATTAAAAGGTAGCAAATTTGTTAAATAGGTAATTCAGGTAAATAAACCAGTGGAACTGCCTACCCGCCGAAGCCGTAAATGCCAAAACGCTGCTGACTTTTAAAATGCAGCTCGATAAAATCATCAAGACAAATGGTGCCACATTTGACAAGCTACCTGCTATCTGTCCTCGTCGAAATCACCTTAGACAGTGGACTTCATGTTTGTTGTTGTTTTAGATTTAGCTACTCGGAACTAAAATTTCCATGTAGCACGGGCTATGGTGAGCCCGTAAAAGACCTTCAAGTAAATTTGTCGCCCCATATAGCGGAGGTACAAGGCCAAGGCATTTGAATCTGTTTACGAAGTCGAGCTGGGAGCCATCATACAGTTACAACTTGCGGACAGCTCCTTCCTGCTTGGGTAGACGTCGAGGTAGTATGTTAATGGTGGCTAACAGGTCAATTTTGTCAGAATATTGGCGGACTTTCCTGCCTGAAACGCTGCACGTACTAGTGGCATTACAAGAGTGTAATTACTATGCTATGTATCCTCAATCCCAATGTACCTTCTTGTATATATATAAATAAATAAAATAAATAAATAATAGACTACATACCTCTTGTTTAAATTACCAATCAAGTTGTCAATGTAATCAACCAGAGCTTTATTATACCAATGTACTTTAATATACTTACTATTTTCTCTCATCTCATTTTTTTTCTTGCAATGTATCTGTTATCATTTTATTAATTCTGCTAGAATTTACCTACTTAAAATTATCTGTTACTCCAGTCCTGACCCCCTTGCTCTAAATGCCACAGTAAATACTGAGCTAAATAAAGTCCATCTTTGGCTAACTGCCAACAAACTCACCCTTAACATTGACAAAACTTTCTATATTCTGTTTGGCAATAAATCCTCTAATCAAATAAATCTCAGAATAAACAATACCCAAATTTGTAACAAATTAAATGGCAAATTCATTGGCGTCCTCATTGCCCACAAGCTGAATTTCCAGGGACACATTATAAATATATCAAAAAAAGTTTCAAAAACTGTTGGCATTCTTTCTAAGATCAGATATTATGTACCCCGCCCTGCCCTGGTGACTCTCTATTACTCCCTCATCTATCCATATCTCAACTATGGTATTTGTGCTTGGGGTTTTACTACCCAAAATCATTTACGTCCTCTAATTACTCAACACAAAGCTGCTATTAGGACAATATCCAACTCTGGCCCCAAACATCACTCGGTACCCCTACTCAAATCTCTGAATATGTTAGATATTAAGTCACTGCACATTCTCTCATGTGTATTATACATATATAAAACGCTGAACTATAATGTCAATCCTGACCTCAAAAACTTCATTGAAGGTTGTAACAGAACCCATGAGCACCACACCAGAAACAAATACAGCTTTGATATTCCAAGAGTACGACTTAATCAAACTAGAAATGCTCTACAAATCAAGAGACCCAGAATGTGGAATGACCTTCCCAACCATGTTAAAGATTGTACCTCTCTCAACCAGTTTAAGATAAAAACGAAGCACTACCTAATAAATTCCCTGTAACCTACCTTACCCCTCTATTGTCAACCATGTCTGTTTTATTTAAACAACGCTGTTTGTCGACCTAATTGTATTTGTGCTGCTTTTTCAGCCATGTTCTCCCCTTTCTTATTTTTATTTTTATTTGTTCTCAACACATTTAATACTTTAAACTCAATTAGTATTAAGTTTTAGTCTTTAATGTTTTTCCTGCCCGAAACGCTTTGCGTAATAGTGGCTTTAGGCATTGTATGTACTAGCTCTATCTATAAATCCATCAACTTTGTATCTTACCTTGTATGTATGTACCTTACCTGAATAAAAATTTATTTATTTATTTATTGATATTTATGTTAGATTAAGGACCTGCCCGAAACGCTGCGCGTACTAGTGGCTTTACAAGATTGTAAATACTATGCTATGTATTCTCTCTAACCCAATGTACCTTCTTGTATATAAATAAATAAATTAATAAATAAATAAACTACGGACGGGTCTCTACTATCATTTGTTTACACATGTTAAACGCAAGACTCGTTTCTGTACTTGCTTGCCACACCAGCCTGGTATATTATAAGGGACAAACTACCTGCTGAGCCTGCCCGTGTACACAACCTCCAAGATGTCTCGTCTGCTGCGGCCGGCTGGTGCTCTACTGAACAATTACACAAACAAGACATCTCTGGTCAAGGTACACTTGCGTTTACATGTTTATGGAAGATGAGAGGTGAGAGGCGGGGCTGTGGCAGACGTTGTGTGGAGGTTTGGTAAGCTGAATAATCCTTACATCGTTGTGCTCCCTTACCCGACGGGTCGCCCTATTTTTTAAAGATTAAATGATCTACTCGTATCAAATTGGGATTACTTTACACCAGTTAAGTTACTTTAGTACTTTGATGGCGATTTAGTTGCTTTTGTGTGACCTTGATATTCGCCTGCGTATGGTCATACAAACCACAAGCTTCACCCACATTCATCCTTCTCTTAATTAATAATTTTGTATTAACTTGTACTCAAGAGGTATATAGGTAATCTTTAAAGTGCAATAATTAAAGTACGATAGTCTCTTGATCCTGGGTTCGATTATTTATTTTTATTTATTTATGAGGAAGGTTTATGATCTGACCACACACTATAGAAGGTGAAGGGACGACGACATTTCGGTCCGTCCTGGACCATTCTCAAGTCTATCACAAGCGACTTGTCGTCGTCTCTTCACCTTCTAGTGTGTGGTCTGGTCAACATACATCAGCCATGTTATTGTGATTCATCGCCTGCATAAGGTTTATGATTATTAGGAAGGACGAGATGTTAAGGCTTTATTTACATTCGATTGGCCTTTTCACTCACATCTGGGTATACTGTTTACCTAACAGTGAACAGTATACCAACTTGCAGTAAACCTGAGAGTTGGTAAACTGTTATGGGTTGCATGCTGGGAAAGGTCAGTTATTAGCAGAGAGACCTCATAGGTCTACGAGGCTTCTTGTCTTCCTCAACAAAACCAGGAAAAGCATTTGAAGCTGTGCATGGGGGTTGGTCTCCAACACTTTATTTCTTATGGGGTTAAGCTGTGTTATGCTGTTAATTAAGACAGCTGACAAAATACCCAAGGTAGGAAGTGGTGTTTCCTCTCATTGTAAATTAGGTCATCGTGTCTGCTACCGAAAATCTAACTTTTCATCCATTCAGAAGAGTAAGGTGGAAAAAATGTAAGGTGACCAAATTTTACATTGGCAATGTTGCACTACTGTTCTAACAAACATGATTTTGCATTTTTCAGTCCATATTATATTAGTACTTTATTTACTGTATCCAAAAATTGCAGTGCCCCATTGACTTGTACAGATTATGTAGGGGCTCGCTTGGTTTTCATATAAAGTATTAATAGATATTTTTTTACACTGCAATAAAAATGGCACAATTTATATATGGTGTGTTCGGTCAAATGACATCAAATTCTGTTAGTTTACTGTCTTGTACATCCTACTCATTCATCAAGGCTAACAGACACGTATGGTCACTGTTTGGTAGAAGGTTCCCATGTGGATTTTTTAACCTAACTTGATCATCTTAGTCTCCGTGGTGTAGTGGTAAAGCACTCGCTGCACTTCACAAGTGCTTTGGCCTGGGTCCGTATCCTGGCCGGGGAGGATTTACTTGGCACCAATCCATAACTGTAGCCTCTGTTCACCCAGCAGTGAACGGGTACCTGGTTGTTAAAATGATTTGGCGGGTCGTATTCTGGGGAAAATTAGGATTAAGGACCTGCACGAAACAGTATGCGTGCTAGTGGCTGTGCAAGAATGTAAGAACTCGTATGTGTGTGTGTGTGTATATATATATACTGTACTGTATATATAGTATATAAAAAATAAATATGATAAAGGGTTAAGTTGCTCCTTTTAGAACTTTCATATACTATTTACCTATGCTTTTCTAGAAATTGTTGGCATAATAGGATAGGTTATTGTTGTATTTGGATTAGAACTAGTTTAATAAGGCAACTTGACCCCTGGACAATGATTACAGAGCTGTGTAAGTGTGATAGACAAATCAAGGTCTTCCTAGACCAATGACTGGCTTTTCCTAGGATGCAACCCACAATAATTTTTTTAACTACCAGGCACACATTAGTTGATAGGCAAACAAAGGCATCACATATAAGGAAAGTTAAGTAATGTGTCCAAACGTCTCGCCCTGCCCATGAATCGATTCCAGGATCATCAGTTGGGGCAATGGTGCTGATTGTTGTCCTACATGGTACCTTGAAGTTAAGAATTGGCAAAGCATATTTTAGAATTATTAGGTGTAAGTGGAATTCATTTACTTAGTACTAGGAGTGTCGCCAGTCAATTTGTTCGTAAATTTGTATTTTAATGCGTTAGCGTTGTCACTTAATATTTTGGCTCGACTTTCTTGATATATAAATGGGCTAAATATCACATTTAATTTCTAATTTTGTATATATTTAAAATAATAAAATGAGCTGCTTTTTGCATTCTCCAGTTCAAGTGACAGTTCTGCTGTCACTGGGAGATGAGGGAAGTGCTGCCAGAAAAAGGTTTAGTGTTAAAATTTATGATCTATTAAGTAGATCCTTTCAGCTTCCTCACCATGGTGCCTCTGTAACAACTGCCTGGGACCCTGGGGTTCTCTGGGGTCCAGTTGTGGCCTAAGAGGCCTTGGTTCCAGGCATTTTAGTGCTATTAAATGTGACGTTTCCTAAGTCCATGAAAGACCAGATAATGTCTGTTTCATCATAGATCAGATGACTTGAGTGGTTGCCAGGTCTAACAGGTTCATTGTTTCAACTGACTGTTGTGGAAGTCAGTCTTGGGACTGATCTTAAAGCACTCAGGACAGTGGGGACTCTCCCATTGATAATAAAGGGCCAATAGGTTACACCCACCCAGTTCTGGGAGTGCCTTTTGGCCTATACCCCAGGATCTGAGTTTTCTGAGATTGGCTATTGACTAAAGGCCTAATCTTTGAAATGAGGGTTATCCCTAGAGTACCAGAAAGGGGCATGGTAATGGAACAACTCGGGAGTGTTAACATTTTCGTAATGTAATTACTTAGTGTAGTTTCTGGATGAGAACTACGCTCATGGTGTCCCTTCACAGCACTGTCATATAACTTTTTGAAACTACCAAAAACTTGGCCTCTACCACCACCACCTTGCGTAACTTGTTCCAACCATCTACTACTGTTTGCGAAATTGAATTTTCTTATTTTTCGGCAGCTTTGTTTAGTTAGTTTAAATCTATGACCTCTTGTTCTTGAAATCCCAGGTCTCTGGAACTCTTCCTTATCAATTTTACCAATTCCCATTACTGTTGTGTACATGTGATCATACTGCCTCTTTTTCTTCTATCTTCTACTTTTGGCATATTTAATGCCTCTAACCTCTCCTCGTAGCTCTTGTCCTTCAACTATTATGTATGGACTATTATGCCATTACTGGTCAGTCACAGCTGGCATTAACTAAACCCATAGTGGGCTATTCAAGCTTCATAGTTATTCTTTTATAAAATTTGAAATACTGTATAGTAATTTAATTACTGTATTTGTTTTGGATTTTAGGGGGACTGTTTTCAGATTTGTTTCATAAGTATGCCTTTTATTGTAGCCTTGGATAAGTAATTTGTCGTCCAAGATGAACTGTACAGAACTTGAATTTGCTTAATACAGGTATGTATAAAGTTTGTGTGCTTATTACTGTACTTGTATATAACAAAATACTTTATATTCTAGTCAGCAAGATGGAGGGCTACAGCTGTCAGTGCAAGTTATGAACAAACTCTCCTTAATGTGCCACCTACTAGAGTTACTGTGCTGGATAATGGCTTCAGGGTAGCAAGTGAGGATTCAGGAGCCCCAACAGCTACTGTGGGTCTGTGGATTGATACTGGTTCTCGATTTGAAACTGATGCTAACAATGGTGTGGCCCACTTCTTGGAGCATATGGCTTTTAAGGTTAGATACATTTTTATTTTGTAAACAATTAAGTTTTTAAAATTATACTGTTCTTTACAGTAGCAACAATATTCTTGACTTTGATTGGTAATTAATTTTGGTGGAATTGTGGTGATTTTTTTTTTTTTTTTTTTTTTAAATGGGAATCACCCCTTGAAGTAGCACTAGTCTAAACTAATTAGTGGTACTGTATCCCTAACCAGTGTGGCAGTAACATGCAAACCAATGAACAGTTTGGATTTGGAATATAAAGTCATGTACCGTACTGTATATGAATCCTATTAAGTTTCTATGGCAGTGACTTGAACAATACAGATTTAATTTCCTGTGGGAAAATTACCATGTAATGGAGTGGGAAAGGAATTGGGCATAAACCTCCATGTTACCTAGTCTATGCAAATAGAATTTTAATGAATAAATTTAAAGAAAAGTAATTGTTTAATACACTAATGAACTAACTTTATTTAGGGTACATCGAAGAGATCTCAGACCGACCTCGAGCTAGAAGTGGAAAATATGGGCTCCCATCTTAATGCCTATACCTCCAGGGAACAGACAGTTTTTTATGCAAAGTGTTTCTCCCAAGATGTGCACAGGGCTGTTGAGATTCTTTCAGACATCATTCAGAACAGCAAGTTTGGAGAGGTGAGTGTGTGAGGCTAGAATTAATTGGACTTAAAATTTGAGTTAGAGATTTTTGGCAAACAAATGGCCAAAAATTATAATGTTAATTTTTGTACTTTCCTGGTAAAGATTCAGCCAACTCGAATGCCCGGCTTACTCAAAAGGGGGGAGGGGGGTGGATTATCAATTCAGATTATCAAGCGTAGACACATTTTAAGTAACTTGAGTAATCATTGGGACAATTAAATAAGTTTATCCTTAAATTATAAAAGGTGTAAAACTATTGTAAGGCAGGGTGGGTATATAATGAGGATTGTTTTTTAAATTTTTTTCGTTTACTAGTAAGTACTAAAAAACAATTATTTTTAGGGCAGCCCACTCGGTGGCTCACCAGAGCTGAAGCATTGGCACTCCAGGTCATTGCAGTCTCATCAGGCATTTCTGACAATCTCTGATGGGAAATCCATGTAAATAGTCAAAAGGGTGTCGCAAAACTAAAAGCACTTGTACAAGAATTATGGTGCAAATGAAGACGAAACAATGCTAAACACAAACGACTGAAATGCCACTCCTCTGCTTTCCCTAACCAGATTGCAATATGAGTCAACCAGGGGGTCTGGCAAGGCCAATCCTCTCACTGTTTCCTGGTGCTTGAATTTCTTGACTAGTATGTCCAAACACTTGAAAGATTATAAATAGGTTTTTGGTCAAAATATTAAAATATTTGGTAAAATTTTATTTATTGTCCTATTATCTTGGGACTAGTTTTAAAATGCGCGCCTTTACGTTGCATACAATTTGATACCAAAATGAAAGATGTAACACAAATTTGTCAGAACACTGGAAAGATATAAATAATTTTGTGATGATGAGCTTCTAGGATTAAAATATTTGTTAAAGTTCCAGTTATTGCTCTATTATTATGGGACTAGTTTTAAAATGCATGCCTTTTTATGGAGAACAATTTGATACTAAAATGAAAGACGTAACACGAAAATTGATGTTATCAAACTGAACGAGTATACACATTAGGTTGCAGTGTACAAATTAGCGCTCGTTCACAGGTAACTTTAGGCTTTTCTGCCGGGAGGCACTCCAGGCTTTTGTACATTATATTCATACACATCTGTAGGGAATTTAATTGAGAACACAATGATACCAAAACAAGCGACGTAGCACAAGAATTAAGGTGAGAATACTGAAACGAGTATACACATTTTACTGATTTTGTGCGCTCACGGGTAACTTTTGCCGACTTTAGGCTTTGCTGTTGGGAGTCACGCCAGGCTTTTGGACATTAAATTCATACACACCTGTAGGGAATTTAATTGCAAACACAATGATACCAAAACGAACGGCGTAGCACGAGAATTAAGGTGAGAAAGCTGAAACGAGTATATAATATATAACGAAACGAGTAGGGATCCATGACCTCTAAGTTGACCGCGCGCATGTCGGGTGAGCGATAGTGTTAAATGGTGAAAATCGTTATTGTATTTGATGTTAAAGTTGCTGAATACAGGGAGGATTTTAGGCATAAAAACAGGTGTCTGTAACAATACTGTACAATATTGTTTACTTTGTGATGCTTGATTTGAGTCTGGGCTTTTATATTTTAAGCTCTTAATTTATTAACAGGCAGAAATTGAGCGAGAACGTGGCGTGATCTTGCGTGAGATGCAAGAGGTGGAAAGCAATCTTCAAGAGGTGGTTTTTGACCATCTTCATTCTGTAGCATTTCAAGGAACTCCTTTGGGACGTACAATTCTTGGACCAACAAAGAACATAAAGTGAGTACATAAGTTGAATTATAATTATTTGTTCTGGGAGGGCTTTTCTTATTAACTTCCTGAGGTACCTGCCTGATTTAGCTCCAAACATAACATACCCCCTACCAGGCCCTTGTGAGTTACGAGCACCTACCGGAGACTAGAAGCAAAATCCTGGCCACTCAATAGAGACAAGGGAGTCTTGGGATATGCTAGATCAACCCAAACCAAAAGGAAAAAAAAAAAAAAGGTGGAGTGCCCCAAAACAAGCAACTACGTAGAGAAATGTTAGCAACCTTGACAAACTATGCACACTTGTTAACCAGTCCCAAGCACATGTTACTTTCCTAACACCAAATGGCAACCAGCTGATGACTTCAGTAATAGGCCTGGTGTGGCTATGGCCACAGCTTGTGTTGTGGTAGTCCTTCCTGGCTTCAGTTTCAACTAAGTGTTGGCTATTCTTTATGACCTTGTCCTGCAGAGGTGTGTGTGTGTACCAATTTTACTTTGCTTCACATTAGTTTTTCTAGCCTTGTATTACACTGCACCCTTTTAGCCTTGTTTGCCTCAACTGCTTGTGGCTAGAGTTGCATCACAATTTGTCACTAGCATTGCCCCTGCCCTGTCAGGTATCTGCTCCTTGGGGAGGCATCCTCTCGAGGTTCCTTGCACTGGGTAGAGTATGGGCTTCATCTCCTTTATGGGGGAGGTTATGTAGTCGTAATGGCTTACTGCTTTTCCCTGATTTATGTGTGGGCTGCTTCCCTTCCTGTATGGGGTGGTTGAAGTTGCATAAAAAATTTTTTTTCTTATGTTAGTTTTAAGTGCTCGGTTTGGGTTCACCAACCTGCTCTTGGTCTGTTCTCTGCTTATGCCTTCCATTGCTAAATTTACCAAGGCTGGGGGTTGGTGTGGGTTTAGTACACATCTAGCACCTGGCCTCCCAGCTGGTCACTCCCCAGTCAATGCTTGTATTAACTCATGTCTTGTGTAATCTGGGATTGGCCCTTTCCTCTGAGCCTGCTGTTGCTGAATGTGCTGTGACAATTTTCATATTAGGTTTACTTATTTTTTTCTTTTTATCATTTTAAATGTTAATATATAAATACACTAATATACAAAATGGAACAGACAGCCAAACAAACTTTTTTCTGGGTGCTATGGGGTTTTTGTTGCATGCTAATAGTCGGCCTTTCTTTCTCCATCACTCCTGTGTTTGTGTGTATTCCCTGGAATCAGACGTGCATCATTGCTGGTCTGTCTTTTTCTGTGCTGCAGTTGTAGGGTGTGGTATTTCAGGCAGTGGTTACTGTACGGAACAGCATACCATTTCTCAGTTCGGTGGTCTTGGTCTTGCTTTGATGCCTCAGAGTTGGTTTCCCTGCTCTTTTTGCTTGAAGGTGGAGTGTTTGATTATGGGAACATGGTTGTGATTTTGTTCCTTCTTGTTCCTCATTGTTTTGGGCCATGCTTATGTGCTGTGTCCAGCTGTCTTTCCCTCTCCTTTGGTTCAGGCTTGGAAGCATTTGTGGTCTTAAGAGTTATTAGCTACTGATTTAGGGATTGCCTCATCCTTACTGAAGGCATACTTTCCTGTCAGGGATCTGTTACCACTTTTGTGGGGATTATTGTACTTGAAGTTGATCTAGATTGTCTCTATGGTCTTTGGTACAAGTTGGTGGTACACTAGGGGTTGTGGGAGCACCCAAGTGAGTGCCCTTCACCATTTCATGTTCTCTTGTGCTATCTTTTGCTCAGCATAAAGGACTGATGTCCCCATCAGTTACAGCCCCAAGCCTTCTTCACATGGATACATTTCAAGGTGTCATTAGGCCTGAAATAGAGGGAATACAGAGAACATATACGGCATACATACACAATAAAACACCTAAATTATTGTTATCGTCTCAAAGCTCTCCAAATATACTTACTAGAAAGGAGACGAGAGAGAGATCAAATAATATACACGTGGCAGCTGCTGGAGGGCCAGGTCCCAAATCTACATAGTAAAATAACAATATACTGGAGTGAACGATATGGAAGAAATTCAGAATAGAACCAGTGAAATGCAGGGGTGCCGTAGGCACAGAAACTGTGTAAACATAAGAGGTTCACGGTTGTTCAACATCCTCCCGGCGAGTATAAGAAATATTGCTGGAACAACTGTGGACATCAAGAGAAAACTATATAATTTTCTCCAAGGAGTGCCGGACCAACTGGGCTGTGGTGGATATTTGGGCCTGCGGGCCACTCCAAGCAACAGCCTAGTGGACCAAGCTCTCACAAGTCAAGCCTGGCCTCGGGCCGGGCTTGGGGAGTAGAACTCCGAGAACCTAATTAAGCAGGTATCGAGCAGGTCTCTTGGATTCATCTCTTCTTTCTCTGGATAAATTAGCTTTGGTTCCTGTTGCAAGATCAGGACCTCACCTTGTTAATGGATCCTGCTTATTTTGATTTTGGGTATCTCGTACTCCTGGTTGAAGCACGAGGCATCTGGCATCTTGTTCATCAGGTCTGACGACCTGACCTTTAGTGAACAAAACTGGGCAAATGTAGTGGCAGCTAGGAAAAATAATAGGATGGATTAAGTGTTCAAAATGCAGAGATCCCACAGCAATGCAAATACTATTTAAATCACTGGTGCTGTTCCATTTGGAGAGAGATCTGAATTACAGGGAATACAAATAACCTATACTGCATGCATAGAAATGATAAAACGCCTAAATTATTGGGACTGTCTCAAACCTCTCAAAATGTACTCTGGAAAGGAGACAAGAAAGGTATCAAATATAAACATGGAAGATACTGGAAGGCCAGGTCTGAAAATTTGCAAAGTATAACAACATAATACAGAAGCAAAAGATATGGAAGGAAATGCAGAACAGTACCACTAAGGAGTAGAGGTGCCATAGACACAATCAGAGAGCACTATTTGAACATCAGGGGTCCATGGCTGTTTATTACCCTCCCAGCAAGCATTAGAAATATTATCGAAACAAAAGTGGATGTCTTCAATATACACTTAGACAAGTTCCTGCAAAAAGTCATGGACCAACTGGGTTGTAGTGGATATGTGGGCTGCTCCAAGCAACAGCCTGTTGGGCCAAGTTATCACAAGTTGATGCTGGGCTTGGGGAGTAGAAGAACTGAAACCCTCTTCAGGTATGTTCCAGATATAAACTTGTTTTTTTAATTTTTGATCATTTGTTTGTTGTTAAGGGAGTTCATTCAGCGAGTTGGGAGGCTTTGGTATATTTGAACCAGCAGTAGTCTGTATTGGTTCAGTGACTTTCTGGATGCCTTTCCTGGTGAGGTGGCAGAGTGTCACCTACTTCCTGCATCTTTGTGAGAGGTGGGAGCAGGTTCTGGCTGTGGTGCCCGGTAGGCTGAACTGAACTTCACGGCTGGTGTGATCTCATAGTTGGGAGCCATCTCAGCAAGATGGCTTTAGGGAGCCACCTGAGCTCGCCCAGAAATTAGTGTTTCATTACATTCAATGCTGATTTTTTCCTGTTCCAAGACACATTTCAGTAGTCTCTGTAATTAAAATTTGCAATAAATTATTATATTACAGGTCTATCAGTCGAGCAGACCTGGTTGAGTACATCACAACCCACTACAAGGGCCCACGAATTGTGTTAGCAGGTGCTGGTGGTGTAGATCACGACTCTCTAGTAAAGATGGCAGAGGAGCACTTTAAGGGCCTGGGTATTTCTTACGAAGGTGATCCTCCAGAAATTGCACCATGTCGTTTTACAGGTATGTAAATTAAAATTGCATTTTGATGGTCCTACTTACATGTACCCAATTTCTTTAATTGTAATTATTTGAATGCATGTCCTCACTTATTCCTATAACAAAAGTATATATTACTCAGGTTCAGAAATTCGTGTACGTGATGACAGCATGCCTCTAGCTCACATTGCTATGGCAGTGGAAGGTGCTGGTTGGGCTGATGCAGACAACATACCACTCATGATTGCCAACACCATTGTCGGTTCCTGGGATCGCACCCATGGTGGAGGTTCTCACAATGCTTCCAACCTTGCCCAGGTGAGTAGAGCTTGAGTGCATTGTATTTTCTGTGTGCAAAAAGTAGAGTATTATACAGTTCAGTTTTATTTATTTGTAAGTATATCAGAGAAATGCCCAACTTAAAAATATTGTGCATTAATGTTCCCTCATTTTCATCTTATGACTTAAAAATTGCGTCCATATTTAATTTTGTAGTGTCTGCAATATCTGGATAATGCCTTTGTATACTGGCATGAAACTTTCAAGATATATATATAGTGGTGTGAGGAAGAGACTATTTCTGGTGGCTGGAAATGATCACAGTAATCTCAGTAGCTAAAGCTACTGTACCTTGGAAGTTTTAAGATACTCAATTGTTTGTTTTTTGCAAGAATGATTAAAAGATACCAAATTTTTATTTGGGTATGTTTGTCATAAACTTCTACCATATTGTACCATACTTGTTTAATGATTATTCTTATGTAATAGTTGATGCATAAATTTTGGACTAAAAGATAATGATGAACCCAACCCATACATCTGAAAAGAAATGACAATGTATCAATGCATTGCTTCCTTTATTTTAAGGTGTGGTGGTTGGGTGTCTAATCTTCATCAATGTTATTAATATCTTTGTGGTGTTATATGTAAAGTTATCATTCTGGTGTCATTTTGTGGAATGCCGCCTCTGTAGCTTCATACAAGTTGCCATTAAAGCAAATTGATTTAGGCCACTGTGTGGCTAGTAACAGACAGGCTTACCTTTAGTACCCGTGGGATAACTTAAAATACCTGTTTATATTATTTATTTTGTGTTCCTTTTGTGTTTTTCAAATGACTAATAAGTTTTTCTTTTCAGGCTTCTGTTGCAGAGAATCTTTGTCACTCATTCCAGTCATTCAATACCTGCTACAAGGACACTGGCCTGTGGGGAATATACTTTGTTTCCGAGCCAATGAAAATTGATGTAAGATATTTGTCTTCAGTATTTGCTTTAAATTCATAGTCTGTTTTGATTGTTTAAATAGCCTTGTACTTCATATAAAGTTCTTTCATTGGCTGTACCATCTGATCAAATATTTTACAATCAGTATTGAGTTTCTTAGTTTTACCATATATTTTTATTTCTGTATTATAGATAAACCAATGTTCAAAAGTCTGCCTGTTCTAATTCTATGTTGTGCTTAAGGTGCCAGTTTTTGGGGTTCACTGACTGAGATGGGGATTCTGTTGTGCCTAGATTTTGGGAGTAGCACTGCTGTTTATACAGTACTTGCATCAGTGGTGCAGTGTCTTTTGTTGCCATGAAGGCATTTGGACTTTGTCTTGGCTCACTTTCTCTGCTCTTTGATGTGCTCTTTTTTTTTTTTTTTTTTTTTTGTCATTGTCCCTTGTTTTGCTGTGTATCTTTTTCCTGGTCTGTTTCCTGTTGCTGGAACACTCTCTTTCCGGAGATTTCTCACGCTCTGTGCTTTGTGGTGATAGTTTGCCATTTCTTTCAGGGTTGCCTGTGTGGCTCGGGTTATTGACTCGGTTGTGTTCTCGGTATCCCTTGTCCACAGGTGTATTTCTGGGTGGTAATCTTTAGCTGGCCTTCTGCTTGCCCACAGGCCCTTGTAATCTGCAAGTTGCAGCATTCTCCACATTTTTTTGTTTTGGGCAGAGTTTGGGTTCATGGATTCTGACGGTCTTTTTGGATTTTTGCAGCTCGGCACCTAGTCCATAGTTTCAGGCTGTTTCCCTCTTGAGATTACTGGTAATTCCCCTTCCTTGCATGGTATGGGCCTGTTTTCTTCTTCATGGTGAGAGCGCCTTCCTAGGTGGGTAGCTTAAGGAGCCATCAAAGGACCCACTAGCCTGGGGTGTTTCATTACATTTAACACTGGACTTTTGATTCCATACATTCACTTCCATATACAGCCGAGTGGACAGCACTTCGGATTCGTAGTCCTGACGTTCAATCCCGATGGAGGCGGAAACAAATTAGGCAGAGTTTTTCGCCCTGATGCCCCCATTTCCTAGAAGTAAATAGGACCTGGGAGTTACAGCTGTTACAGGCTGCTTCCTGGGGGGGGGGGGTGTAACAAAAGAGGCCTGGTAGAGGACCATGCCACGGGGACGCTAAGCCCCGAAATCATCTCAAGATAACCTCAAGATAGGGCAGGAATGATTGAGCATGTTTCCTTCCTTCCTTCCTAGTGCTTTTGTTCTTGCAGTGAATAGGTACCTGGGAGTTAGGCAGTAGTTGTGGGGTTGCATCCAGGGGAGGGTCAGGTAAGATAATTATCAGAAGAAAGCACTAAGCCATTATGACTATGTAGTACTTGGAAGGAATGAGAAGGATTTGGGATAGGACAGAGGAAAGGAATGGTAGTTCAACCTTGGGGAGACCTCAATACAAGCTTAGTGTATAAATACACACAGGCTTCCTCTCCCAACAAAACAAATTATAATTTATATCTTGTATTTTCTTTAATTGCTCTGTGAAAGGTACTGAGGCATAGTAGCCATAGACAGTATGCCTGTGCACTCTGCACCAGACACTAATTCCTGGAATTTCATATTCATCAAGAATTGTAAGCTTATTGCAGGCCCTTAACATTGGAGACAGGTCTTAGATACCGGTGTTATTCTTGACATACTAAAAGCAGTGAAGATAGCACAACTCCAAAAAGGAGGGAATAAAGCAGATACAAAAAAAAATATAGGCCGATAGCAATAACATCATACATCATAAAAATCTTTGAGAAGAGTTCTAAGAAGATCACAAAACACATGGAATCATCACATCTACATAATCCTGAACAACATGGGTTCAGAACAGGGTGCTCTTGCCTATCACAATTGCTGGACCTCTATATGGCCTTAGATACCATGGAAGATTAACATAATATGCATAGATTTCACAAAGACCTTCGACAAAAGTGTCCATGGTGTTATTATACTCGAGGAATTATGTACTGGAAAAATAGGAAGACGGATATTACATCTCTTAACAGAACCCAGTGTGTAATAGTCAACAAACTATAATCCAGGTCATCCACCATGAAGAGCTCAGTGTCCCAGGGTACTGTGCTTGCTCCAGTACTCTCTCTCATATCGGACATAGACAAGGTTCAAACTATAGTACTGCATCATCCTTTGCAGATGACACTAGGATTCTTATGAGAATAGACAATATAGAGGATACAGCAAACTTCTGATCTGATGTAAATCTGGTCTTTCAATGGGCCACAGAAAATAATAATGCATTTAATGAAGACAAGACAAGTTCCAGCTCCTGCACTGTGAAAAAATATATATATATATAAATATGGAAACCACATATGAAACTTTGTCTAATCATATTATAGAATGAAAAAAACATTGTAAAGGATTTGGGTGTAATCATGTCAAAAGACCTTACCTTTAAAGAACACAATAAAGTAGCTGTCACAATGGCAAGAAAAATGACAGGATGGATAACAAGTACCTTTCAAAAAAGAGATGCCATACCAATGATACTTTTCAAATGATGAGTCACAGTAGCTGAAGGGATGATGACCAAACCACACACGAGAAGATAAAGAAATGCCGACGTTCTGTCCATCCTGAACCATTATCAAGTCGTGTGTGATAAAGACATAAGACTTGATAATGGTCTTGGAGGGAGGGACCGAAACATCGTTTCTTCACCTTGTGGTGTGTGGTTTGGTCATCATACATTTAAAGATACAAGTCTACTCTTAACCCTTGCACTGCTCACCTATTTTCGGCAAAAACGTCTTGGTGCAATTGTCAAGGACATAATTTTGTTATTTTTACAAATGTTCAGGTAAATTTAATGTCAAAATGTTTATAAAGTCAACTATTTCCATTTCAAAACACAAATATTAATGAAAACATTAAAAAACATTAAAATATAGCCAAATTAAAAAACAAAAAGCACAACTCTCTGAGCGCCTAAAGGCGCTTTGCGCAGTGCAGTGGTTAAGAGTGGTTACCTTGAGGTGATTCCGGGGCTCAGCGACCCCGCGGCCCGGTTGTCGACCAGGCCTCCTTGTTGCTGGACTGGTCAACCAGGCTGTTGGACGCGGCTGCTCGCAGCCTGACGTATGAGTCAGCCTGGTTGATCAGGTATCCTTTGGAACGTACCTGATCGGGTATCCTTTGGAACGTACTTGATCAGGTATCCTTTGGAACGTACCTGATCATGTATCCTATTTGAGTGGAATAGTTTTGCTCATCCAAGAGCTGGAGAAATTGCTGACCTGGAGAGCGTGCAAAGATCCTTTACTGCTAGAATCTACTCGATAAAACTTCTAAATTATTGGAACCGATTAAATGTCTAACTCTGAATTCTGTAGTGCACAGGTGGGAGAGATGCATAACAATTTATGCTTGAAAAATATTAGAGGAACTGGATCCAAATCTCCACAGAAATAACACCACACGAGACAGAAGGCATGGCAGAATTTATAGAATACCCCCTATTGAAAAGCAGAGATGCAATAGGTACTCTGGGAGACATAAACGTCAAAGGCCCAAGGCTTTTCAACACTCCTGCTACACATAAGGGGCATAACTGGCCGACCTCACACGATGTGCAAAAAAACTCGATTAATACCTCTAAATAATACCTGATCAACTAGGCTGTGAATCATATATCAGGCTGCAAGCAGCTGCATCCAACAGCTTGGTTGACCAGACCACCAACCAGGCAGCGGGGGACGTTGATCACCGCAAGGTAACGCAAGGCTGAAGAGGTGGGTGCCAGGTTTATGGCATCTTTTGCCTGTCTTATCTGCCTTTTTATTTTCCTGGATTCCTACATGATTGGGAACTCAGATGTAATTGGTGATCTTGTACAGTATGTTGAAAACTTGTATTTGGTGGGGCGACAGGATGTGATTAGCATAAACTCTTCTACAGTTACGCTTAAAGTATGCTTTTCGAGTCTGGATAGGGAACTATTTATTCTTTGTTGGCTTCGATGGACTGATATTTAGTTTCAGAATGTTATTTCTATAATTTATAATGCATACCAGAAAGGTACAATACTGCACCTACTTTCCTCGTACTCTGCTTTTAGGAAACAAGAACCTGAATTCGTTGTTATGCACTTTTCTACATGTTAAGGGATTCTTCAGTAATAAAACTACTGTATAGGTATTAGATATGTTTAAAATATAGTCTTCAATAATGGTCACATATCCTTTGCAGGACTTCATGTACAACTTGCAGTCTGAATGGATGAGATTGTGCACTAATGTTACCGAGTTTGAAGTTGACCGTGCCAAAAACATTTTGCGCACAAACTTGCTGCTGCAATTGGATGGCACAACCCCTGTGTGTGAAGACATTGGTCGCCAGATGTTGTGCTACAACAGGCGCATTCCTTTACATGAGCTAGATGCTAGAATTGAGGTGAGTGGTTATCTTGTGTACTTTAAAGTTACTTGGCAATGGCATAACAAATTTGTTAATGATTAAAATGAATTGCCTTATTATTAACACTACATAATTGTACAGCATTTGTAGGTTGTGCACTTGTATACTCATTTTTGTTATTTTAAAATAATTGGAAAATAGTTACAATTTTAAATGATCTTGAGTTTGTGGATGTGGGTTCAGGAATGGATGAAAATTATAAGGGAAGAGCTTTGTTCACATGAGAGAGAATGAAGGATTGTGAAGGGGAATGGGTGTGTTAATTGACGAATATATTTAAGTGCAAGATGGGCACACATGCACAAGTGCACATGCTTCAGCGTGCAAGGAGAATATTATAGGAATGAAAGACATGAAAGTAATTTTTAATCAACTGACTATAAGATGCTTCAGAATGGTAATGGGGATTTCAGAGAAGATGTGTTTGGAGAGATGTTTATTTCTATCCAATACGTTAAGCATAGGTTCATACATAGGTTACCTTGAGGTGCTTCCGGGGCTTAGCGTCCCCGCGACCCTACCCCTGCGAAACCCCCGTGAAATAATCGGCAAAATCTGGTCATTAGGTATACATAAAATCAGAGTAAGTGGGATTATACATGTGCTGATATAAGATGTAATTTTTGAGAGGAATGTTTGTGCCAACTAAATCTCGGCACAAACATTTGCATAGTTAACTATGCAAACTTAGGTCAAGTGAAAGCTGTTTTTGTGATCAGAGAAAGTGTAGCAAATGCTATATGTATAGAAATTGGAGATAGTGGAAGAAGGTAAAATATTAGGTGATGTATGGGGAAAGTCTGAGAATTCAAATATAAAAGGGGTATATTTATCGTCCACAACGGAACGCATTTCAAGCAGCCTTTATGTGCTTCGTTGGTCAGTTGTCCTGCACCTTGTGATGGGATTTGGTAGGTATTCAGAAAAGTTTCAAATTGAATGTTTACCAGGTCTGTGTTTCCCAATCAATCTTCTTATTAATTTTGTACTAAACAGCTCTCGGGTCATTATTACTTTTGAAGTAATACTGTATTAATGTTAATTTAAATCAAATTATTTTTATATTGTTCATAAAGATCAAATTGAGAGTACATATTTATTTTTCTGGTTCTGTTATCTACTGGTTGAGCAAGAATTTGTCAGTCAACCCATCCAATATAGACTTTCTAATTCTCTATTGTCCTTGTGGCCTTACTATTTTACTATTCATAAAGTTTTTTTAGTAACTTTTTTTTTTTTTTTTTTACATTTTTAGCAGCATGAATTATTGTACTGCATAGGCAGGGTTAGAGAGGTAGTTTTTGGTTGAAAAGTCATGCAAATGAAGTTGTCATTTGCCAGGAGTAATAAAGCCTGTACCTTGTCACCACCTCATTCTGATGTGGAGCTCTCCTGTACACTACTAAGTACATTAACAACATTTTCAAGGACTGCTTCTATAAGGCATTGCTAGATTAGATTCTAGAATGTACTGACAATTTTTTTAGGCTTTTGGTTCTTGTAGTCATAGCAACAATTACTGTGCCAATGATGATAGCACACTTACTAAGCAAATGCCATAGCTGAAAAAACTTGAATTTGAGTTTTTCCATCTTTCTGTAGTTTCTGATGGTAAGCCCCTTCACACAATACCAGTCTCATCAGCATTATTAATATGAAACGGTTGTATTTGTGGTCAGCAATTCTGCTGTAATTTTCTTTTCAATAGTTCAACAGTATTAAATACTTTTACTTTACAGGCTGTGAATGCAGATGTTGTGAGAGAGACATGCTACAGGTACATCTATGACAGGTGCCCAGCTGTTGCTGCTGTTGGGCCGTGCGAGGGGTTACCAGACTACAACCGTATTCGCTCTAGCATGTACTGGCTAAGAGTGTAAAAATATTAATTAGCTTTTGAAATGTATAACCTAATTTTTCATCCTAACAGTTTTCTATATTGGCAAAATGTAGCTTGAACACTTAATTTATGAAGAAAGATTTTGCATGTGAAAATTATCTTGTGTATATATATATATATGGCAAGACTTTTATTGTACATAATGTTTAAATTGTGAAATTACAAGGATGAAATGTTAATGTTTGTTTTTTTCCATACTTTTGTTTTATATATAAATCAGAAGGCCTAGTGGCTCATACAAGACAGCTTCTATTTATTTCCACTGAAATTTGTTCATTTATCTAACTTACGTTTTAAAAACAATCCAGCTATTATGTTGCTAGGTAATTTGCCCCATAATTCAACAAAGCCTTCTAAACCAGTAGTTTACCCCAATCTTTAAATTCAGTGAACTTTTTATCCATTATTTCAAATTCTATTTTGTATTGATAGACTTGAAATCTTATTCATATCCTTTCATCCATTTATGTACTTAACTCTTGGAGAACGGCTATTGAAAAATGGTCTTGCCTGCCAAAAAAAAAAAATAAAATCCTGATAGAATTATTCATTTGTATTATAAATGTAAGAAAACCTGATAAAATGCTTATGTCAATTTTTACTGGTTGGATGAGCTGTGAAAGGTTGCATAGTGGTGGTGTGTTAAGCATCTGTTGACACCTAATAATGACTGCTGCTGCCAAATAATTGCTAAGGGTTAAATCATGTCTCCTCTTACTCTGTCTTTCTGGAGAAATTAAGAGTAAATTTACAATCTTCATAAGGGAGATTTCTAGTTCTTGGTATTCACAATGTCATTCTCTGTACAGTTTTAAGTGAATTTATCCTTTCTGTAGTAAGCTAAAACTGAACTCTTTCTTGCCCTTGTTAGGCCACATTTAGATGTGGCCTAACAAGGCCACATGATAATGCTGAAGAACATCATTTGATGTCTTGTTACTATACTTCTTGGAAAAAAATCTCAGTACTGTAGTACTGTATCTTACATGGCTTATTTTTCATTCATTTATACATTAATTTTTTGGGCTTAAGATTCCTACTAACCATATCATTCTGACTTCATAATTTCAATGTTGTCTAGCTGATATGTAAACGTAATGCCCAAGCTCACAACCCAACATTTTTTGGTATTAACCCATGCACTGCTTGTTAGTTTAATATGACAACCCCATGGTGTAAAAATAATCCCCCCCCCCCCCATTTTTTTCTTTCTGATGTTAAAACTTGTTTCCTGATCATGGGGAAAAGACAAAGATTGTATGACCAATAGAGCAGGGAAGTTTAGCAATACTGTATATGGGCACCAAGTGAGTAGTCACTCGGGAATGCTTATCCATCTACCCCATGGGGCAGTTGCTACTGCAAATGTTTATGAAGTTATTTCAATGTCTGAAAGTTTTTTTTCCAGTAGTATAACTCAATAGTGTAATTTGAGGAATTTATAGTTAAAGCCATGAAGCATTGCTGTGCTCAAAAATATAATTGCCATATTTAGTGACATTTGAACAGTGTTTTTGCTGTTTTTACATTATATATATACACACACACACATATATATAGCTAATCTGTATTATAAAAACAGCCAAGTAATTCTGGTAGATATGTTAATGAAATCTTAGCACAGTATAGAGCCAAACTGACCAGGCCAGACCAGCAGATGTCATCACCTGATGCAGCAAGAAGCCTTTCTTATGCTGTCACAACACTTATGAAATTCCTATCACTAAATCATGAATGAATCATTTTCCACAAGAATATTTTCTAAAGGAACATGGTCACGATTCATAGATGCATGTAACTTCAGCTGTGTGCTGTGAACATAATAAATAGCATCGAGTTCACTGGTATCTGAACCGTGTACATAATTTTTATTATAATCACAATCATCCGTGACACTATCCATCGCAAAGTAATTGGTTACTTATTTTATTCATTATTATTAAGAGATAATGTGGTCCCCTTACCTGCACAGCTGTTCTGTGAGCTGCTTCATGCACCAGCCAGTGCTCGGGCAGTACTAAGGCACCCATAGCTAGGAGGGATGTAGACTTTTTCAAGATGGCATCCATTTACTGGAGTCCTGAGGAATAGGATGTGAGCCCCGTGTACCCACAGGAGAGTTGAATCTTACGATATACTACTGATGCTTGGTGGTGTGCCTTTCCAACCCCCCTCCCCTACTCATGGTATTGTGGTTTGTAAAGTACAGTGGTTGAGATGTCTCTGCTAATCTTTGTCCATTTTGAAGGCCTATCTAGATTATCTTGTAACAATTTCTGTTTTCTGAATTTCTTTCCCATCCTACTTTTGTATCTTTTGCAAATTTACAAATATTGCTGTTCAGTCCTGTCTAAATCATTTCCCCACATACATCAAACAGACCTCCCAGGACAGCCATCTTCTTGAGAGTATCTAGAGATGATTTCGGGGCTTAAACGTAAGAAATATTGATTAGATTCGTGTTAGAATTATTAATCTTACCCTTTCGGTCATATTCAACAACCTATGTTTACAAGAAAAGACTGGTACCAAAATCTATATAAATAAAAATGTAAATGTTCGTTTGTTCAAAATCACTAATCTCTGAAAGTTCTTCACCGATTGCTTTGAAATTTTCACACGGCATTCCATTCGCATCTGAATGGGTTTTTAAATGTATACTATATAAATGTCACGTCTGTGACGGGAATAATCATGCTTTTTTTGAAAAACTTGTTTTTCATGTGAGGGGAAATCTTCGAAACCTCTTTACGGATTGATTTGAAGTTTTGACAACGTTGCTTTCAAATTGGTGCGCGTTTTCATATACCTACTATATACATGCCTCCTCTGTAAAAGGATTTTTTTTTTTTTTAAAGTGCCATCTGTTGGATATAAGAGCAACACACGCTGTAATCTTCGAAAGTTCTTCACTGACTGCTTTGAAATTGACATAACGTTCCATTTGAATAAGCATGTGTTTTTATATACCTACTTTAAAGATGCCACACACCTGTGACAGGTAAAAACATTTTTTTTTTTTTTAAAACGGCGCCATCTGTTGCGCGCAACAGCAACACCCCACCCTATACTAAATATGTTATGATTCCATCTCAATGTTTCCGATTGCGTTGATAAATTTAATTTTCATAGATTTCGATTTATTTTCATTTAATTATTTTGTGACAATGCGTTAGAATTGAGATGTGTTGTTTACCAAACTGTATTTTGTAAGTATAAGTATAGATCTTACACCTTTGACAGGTAAAGACATTAATTTTTTTAAGAAACAGCGCCATCTGTTGCACATAAGAGCAACACACGCTATACTAAATATGTTACGATTCCATTTCAATGTTTTCGATTGCACTGACAAATTGATTTTTCATAGATTTTGATTTATTTTTATTTGATTTAATTATTTTGTGTGACATTGCGTTGGAATTGCGCCGTGTTATTTACCAGACCGTTCATTTCATGAGTATAAGTATAGATGCCACGCCTGTGACAAGTAAAACATGTTTTTTTGAAAAACAGCGCCATCTGTTGCACTTAAGAACAACACACGCTATTCTACATATGTTACGATTCCATTTCAACGTTTCCGATTTAATTGATAAATTAAATTTTCATAGATTTAAATTTATTTTGTGTGACAATGCGTTGGAATGGAGCCATGTTGTTTACCATACCGTTCATTTCACAAGTAGTTTATTTTTTTATTTTTTCACTTTTTCCATTTCGTTTTTTTTTTTTAACTTTTTCTTATATTTCAGTGATGGGAACATCAGATCATTTGGAAATGCATCAGACAAGGAAGTGGGAAATGGTGGGGAGAACGAGGGGACGGGAGTCGAGGATGGTGGGGGGGGGGGGGACGGGAGTCAAGGATGGTGGGGAGGACGAGGTGACAGGGGAGTTGGGGATGAGGGGACGGGAGTCGAGGATGGTGGGGGGGGGGGGACGGGAGTCAGGGATGGTGGGGAGGACGAGGGAACAGGCGAGAGGGTAATAGTGGAGAGGACGAGGTGACAGGGGAGTTGGGGATGAGGGGATGGGGGAAGTGGGGAATGGTTACCTTGAGGTGCTTCCGGGGCTTAGTGTCCCCGCGGTCCGGTCGTCGACCAGGCCTCCTGGTTGCTGGACTGATCAACCCAGGCTGTTAGACGCGGCTGCTCGCAGCCTGACGTATGAGTCACAGCCTGGTTGATCAGGTATCCTCCCTCCCATGGTAGGGAGGACGAGGGGACGGAGGAGTGGGAGATGGTGGGGTGGACGAGGGGGACAGTGGAGTGGGGGATGGTGGGGAAGACAAAGGTACGGGGGAGTCGGGAATGGTGGGAAGGACGAGGGGATGGTTGGGTGGACTAGGGGACAGGGGAGCGAGGAATGGTTAGGAGGATGAAGGGAGGGGAGGAATGGTGGGGAGGACTGACATAAGGTTGCTGTGGCTCAGCAGCGCACATGCATTGCTGAGCCACAGCAGCGCGTGGCTGGGTATAGCTAGTATATATATATATATACAGTATATATATACATACACATATACAGTATTACTTATAATTTACCAAAGTTGCCAAACAATCAGACATAGTAGTGTTGGATTCACCATTCAAAGAGAAAAGTAACATCTTGCTATAAGTTAAAGTTCCATGTCCAAATTTCTAGCACTTATTGCAGAGGCACACAAGGGATGTATTCCAGCATGGTACACGTGGCACCAGGAAGAATTACCAAGAATGGGAGAGCTCAACTATCAAAAGTGACCTTAACACGAAGGGGCTTAGAAAGTTGACTGTTAGGGGGAGTTACATGACCATATCAATCTGGAAAACAGAATGGCCTTAGAATTTTAAGATGGCCTTGATATCTGTATGACAGTCACAAAAATCATTGTCCCCATTTTTTAACATGAGACAGGTAATGCAGTAGTCACCACTAAATGTTGCAAAGGGAGAAACAGGACCAATAAGGTAATCAGCAGATGATGCCAAGTCAGAAGGCTTCCTCAGAGGGAATGGATCTTCCAGAAAGAACAAACTTGTGGGTCAGATCGCCCACCACACAAGTCACAGAGGTTAAAGAAAGTGTGCATGCACTCACAAAAAATCTCCACTTCCTTGTGCACATACAATATTTAATTGCACAATCTGTACACATGGAGCCTAACAGGAAAGGTATGAGAACCAAAGGCAAATCCCAGGAGTAACAGGGAAAGACCATATGTAGGTAACAGAGTGAATGGAAGCCAAGAAACCAAAAGGGATACTGATCCTCTAATGCTCGCTTGACCCAAGTCCAACTAGGCCAGTTAGCTAAGGTAGCCGACCGATTCAGTTGGGTAGCATTGAACCTACCATGTAATCCATCTCTCGCCCAAAGAAGCATGTTGCCCTTCATATTGAATCCATTAAGAAGGCTGAACTTCCAGATGAAGGAAACCGAATATTCAAGTCTCCATTTACAGAAAATACATGGATGATAAAGCCACAGACAGCTTTGATCCTGCTTTTTTCCCAGCAAGTGCCTTAAGGAACTCTCCAACAGATCCTGCCTGGGTTAAACAAAGCACCCATGTTCCAGAACTAACTAGGTAGCTTCCATGGGGTCTGATGGCCCCTTAAGTGACAATCGCGCCTATAAGAAATTCCGTGTTTGTGGTGATTTTTTGCATATTGAACATTAAAGTAATTATTATATATCACACCATGAGTCCCAGGAAAGTCAGTGGTAAGGTTCAACATATGAGATCCCATGTAAGGATGACCATAGAGCAGAAACAAGAGATCATTCGTAAATATGAAGATGGTGTGCGGGTTGTTGCACTGGCTAGGCAGTACAACAAATCTCAGTCAATGATATCCACCATACTGGCTAAGAAAAAGGACATTATGGGTGCTAAAGTGGCAAAAGGCTTAACCTTAACCTATTCCTTAGGTTAACCTTAACCTTAACCTATTCAATGACACTGTGATGCATCATTACAGACAAATGTTAAAACAAGTCTTTTGACAAATTTGTAGCGAGACAAACAAGCACTGAACCACAACCAGGTCCTAGTGGTATTCAGGCAAAACGTGTGAGATAAGAGTACCCCAGAGAAAACATCACTGCCTGATGTGATAATGGAAGGGGACTCCCCTTCCAAACAGTAGCAACTCTCCTCCTTCCCCCTCATCACCATCTTCCATATGCCATCAAGAGCCCTCCATAAAGGTAAGATAAACTTAGGTACTGAATTGTAGTTAGAAAAAAAACATTGTATTCAGTATAAAATGTATTTGTATGTTAATATTTTGGAGGGTGGGAAACGGATTAATTCAAATCCCTTTATTTATTTCTTATGGGAAAAATTGCTTCGACTTACGATCTGTCTCTGGGAACGGATTAGCATCGTAAGTCGAGGCCCCCCATTGTATATCTAGCAGTTTTCTACCTGATACAGTATTGCAATCAGAAATACAATCAGAAGATAAATATTTTCTTTACCTTGGATATCAGTTTACATTTGAATATAATCAATTGAAATTTAAGATGAGTTAGTAAAATAGGATACTAGAAAACCTGAGGTGGATATATTAACATGTGCTAAATATAAATGAAAAAGATCATGACTTGCAAGGTTACAAAATCAAATTAGCAAAACTTCGCTTCTGTTGTCGAGTCTTGAATAGTTACATTATGCAGTATAGTGAAATGACAAAGTCATTATCTACTCAAGAAGTATAGAGCCCCCTTTTAGGCAATCACAAAATCAGGCTCTTTCTAAATCTATTATCATTGCACATAGGTGGTGTTATTTACTTATAAATACTTTCACTAAATTGGATAATAATTCTACACCCATAAGTAATAATATTTATTACAACTGATATATTATGCACAAATCATAATAGACTTGTATACTGAAGTATTTATCATATAATTGTAACATAAATTGTCAGACAGGTTGGTTCTGCCCAGCACACAATATAAAAATACACAATACTACATAGAGTTTTTAAAAAAAATTGGTTTAAAACTACTTGTGTGAATACAATTAAAACAATTATTCATGTCATATTACATGAACTGCAGACACAATATCTTTATCAGATACATACACTTCAGAAAAATAATCTTCATCATTAAGAAGCTGTGAAATATCAGTATGATCGAGAACATATTCTTCAATTTGATTTCCTACATTATTTTCTGAAACTTCTACTTTTATTATTTCTTGTTTACTAACATTATTCATGTACAAATTTTCAACTTCTTTCTCATACTTTTCAATTGTCAAGTCTTTGATATCTAATGCAATGTATTCCTCTGCACCATCCCCAAACTCGCACTTCACACCTGCCGCTTTGGTGCACCAATCCATCCCATTTTCATTTACTACTTCCTCCTCTACTTTAATTTCCTCCGTGTTAAGAATTCTGAGATTTAATGAGCACGATTTAGGTACAGTTTTGTCACAGCTCCAGGGTGGTTTATGTTCTTTAGCACTCTTTATTAGATTTATTTTATGTTGCTGAGAAATAATAATGCTCTTTGAGTCTGATTTATTAGCATTTATTACCAATTTTTCTACTATACTATTAGCTCCATCAATTTTGTAGTTTTCATCAAAAGTTAAACTAGAATTTGTCAATTTAAATTCAGTGGTCTTCAAATCATATGCTGAAAGTAAGTCATCATCATAATCTTCATTATATGATACTTTTTTATTTCTTATTCTAAGATTTCTTTTCAAAACATTTTTCTCAGGAGGTTCATGATTCGTTTTCATGACTTTATTTCCTGATTTTGTGTAATTATCACTTGTATTACTACAAGGCTTATTCACCATTTTCTTCTGAGAGAGCCCACTAATGTAATCATTTACATTAGCGGGTCTGGTTATTTGGTTAACATTACTAAATTCACCTGAAGGCGGTTTATAGCCCTTAATTAGTAACTTTTTCTTATGTACCTTTGAATAATGGTTGTTTAATTCAATTCTTGCATTAAATACAAGATTAGGCCTACAGAATCTACATAAAAACTGGCCACTATTTGTGTGTATTCTTAAATGTTGACTGAGAGTGCTGAAATCCCGGAATTTGCTCATACAGTGTGGACAGCGATGAGGTTTTTCTCCCGTGTGACACCGCATGTGTTTTTTTATATAGTCTGGGTGAAACAAACATCTACATACTTGGCACTGAACTTTTTTCTTTGTCATACTCTGCTTATAAGTGCAATCATCATCTTCATGAACAGTGAAAATATGCTTTGTAAGGGAACTTTTTCTAGTGAAATGTTTGTTACAAAGTTCACAGATAAATTCTTTAACTCCTTGATGGCTCTTTATATGACGTTTTAAGTCCCCAAGGGAGTAAAATCCCTTTTCACATTCTCCACAGGTTAAAGTTGTCAGTTTAGCATGTCTCTGTCGATGTCGATACAATGTTCCCATGTTTGCATAGCACATGCCACAGAGAGTACACTTGTATGGTTTCTTACCAGTATGAGTATTCATATGGATATCCATAACGTATCTGCTACTGGTTACACACTGGCATATGTTACATATTAATGACTGTTCATTAGTCTTGATTTTGACACATTTTTTATTCTCTGTGCTGTATCTGTTACCCAATTGTTCAACATATTCCATGTCAGAGCTCTGAAAACACTTTTCCATCATAACAAATGGTATAGTTGAAGTGGCATTTGAGTCTACATTTGCATCTTTATTTCTGTTTTGTTCCATTAGTGCAATATTTCAATATTATACTGCAATATTAGTGTAGTATTTTCTGCATGAAGGTACACAAAAACTTGTTACAATATTCTCTTTCCCATACTTTATCTGAAAAGAGAATAATTATCTGTAATACAGTAATTAACTGTATTATAATTACAGTACATAAATACCCACACACACAAGTGTTTGCTGATGATGCTAAGCTATTAGGGAAGATAGGAAACCTAGATGATTGTCATGCTCTTCAAATGGATCTAGATAAAGTAAGTTCTTGGAGCACCATGTGAATTCAATGGAATTCAATGTGAATAAATGCCATGTTATGTATGTGGAAAAAGATAAAATAAACCATGCACACAATCTACAAATTATGTGGAAAGCAATTAAAGAACTCTTCACAAAGAGAGATCTAGGGGTGGTTTGGATGGTCGACTGTCACCAGAGGAATACAAAGAACAGTGTGCGAGGAGCATATGCGTCACTTTCCAACTTCAGAATTGCTTTTAATTACATCGATGGTGAAATGCATTACTAAAGAAACTGTTCATGATTGTTGCGAGACTAAAATTGGAATATGCAGCAGTTATATGGTGCCCATATCTCAAGAAGCACATAAACTGGAAAAGGTGGAAATGCATGTTTCAAAATGGCTTCCAGAACTGAAAAACAAGAGTTACGAAGAGAGGCTAGAGACATTAAATATGCTAAAGCTAGAAGATAGCAGAAAAAGAAGCGATATGATCACCACTTACAAAATAATATCAAGAATCTACCAAACTGACAAAGAGGAATTCCTGAAAGTGGCATCTTCATGAACAAGAGGTCGTAGATTTATGCTAAGGAAACAAAGGTGCAAAAAGAAATTAGAAAGTTTTCTTTTGCAAACAGAGTGGTAGATGGTTGGAACAAGTGAGATGGTGGTGGAGGCCAAAATTATCGATAGTTTTGAAGAGTGCTGGGAAGATGGGACACCACGAAAGTAGCTCTCATCCAGTAACTACACTTAGGTAATTTCACACACAATGTATATACAGTATATAAATACGGTACAGTATATCTGCTTATAAAGAGGAAGAGAGCACCAGCTTCTGAGGGGATCTACTTTGAGATTCTTGGGTTTTAAACCTTAACTTGCAGAGCTCTCAGCCAGTAGTGCATTAACATCAACTGAAAAATTATAGCCAAATACACACAAGAATGGTTGATGACTGGAATTAATTTTAGGTGGTAAGGGTTGTTTGTGTTAAAACCTACCTATCGCTTCCTTTTCTCCTCCCTCACTCTGTATTCCCCACCCCACTACCACTCTCACTCCCACACAACAGCAGAGGAGAATAGGTATTTGGGACCAAGCAAAATCTTACCATAGATCCTAAAAGAGACAGAGGCACTGAGCCACCCGTGCAACACTTTAAATGTACACTACCAATGAATGATTTTACAGTTATGAAAAACAGTTGATGTGGTTCCTAAATACAAGGAGACACAGGTGTCAGTTAACACCTGTGTCACTGATCAGTGTCACTTGACATGCAATTCCTTTAAGATCCTGGAACGACTCATCAGGAGGAACCTCATGGAGACCGCAAGTAAAAAATAGGTTTTGTCTCTAGGCACCATCATGACTTTAGTGAAGAAAAATCATGACTAATGAGCTTATCCAATTTGGTTTCCCATAGAGACAGGAAGCCAGTTAGGCTTATCAAGGCACTCCTAGGCCAACTACTGACCTTCCCAGGATGCAACCCACAACAGTTGCATAACTCCAGGATACCTTTAATGCTTGCTAAATAGAGATATCAGGTGAAAGGAAATGTTGCTAAAATGCATTTGTCCTGCTGCAAGAATTCAACTTAGGATCTTTTGCCTTTGACCAGACAGCTGGCCACTGTGTGAAATATTTGAGTTCTATGACCAAATGACAGTAATAAAACTATAAGAAAAGTAGGCTTTCTGTAATTCTTTACTGCCAGAAAAAAGCATCTGGTTTTGTCATGCACATAAGGCTCCGATACAATCATGAGAGCATTATGGTGAGAGGAAAAAGCAGTGGCGCTAGATTATATCGATGTGGTTCAGAGAATACATCTCCCCATAGCCCAAGAGGGAAGTTTTTTTTTTTTTATTAACAAGCTTAGGTATACATAGCCATTTGCTGCTACCTAATTCTATATGAAAGATTACACAGTGTAGATCAAAATCTAGCTATAAGTTAATCTAATATTTCCATCTCACATTGGTGCATTCTGTTCTTGAATTATATAAATTTGGTAAATTAAATGAAGATTCAGGTAAATGACCTGGCAGAGGAAATGTGACCATTCATATCCCTGTTTCCAGACAATGTAGAGCTCACAACAAGTTAGAAGTGAAGAAGAATGTGAGGAACTTGAGAGACCTGGATGTGTTGCAGCATTGGTCAGATGGTGGCTGCATTGCTACCCAGAAACACAAAGTAATAACAATAGAACAGCAAGAAAAAAGACCACAGGGAAAGTACAGGCTGAAGGTAGACAATGCCTGGAAACAAAAATGGAGAACAATCTGAGAGTATATATATCAAGTTGTCTACCTCCTGGGTAGAGGGTTGTCTATGTCCTGAGTACCTACTTACTGCTTTACTACTTGGTTCAGAATCAGGTGAGAGAAATGTACCTAATCATCTATGTTTAGTTCAAGAATTGAAGAGTCCTCGTGGTGTAGTGGCAAGACACTCGCCTGGCGTTTCGCAAGCGCTTTGTCCTGGGTTCGTATCCCGGCCGGGGAGGATTTACTGGGCATCAATCCTTAACTGTAGCCTCTGTTTATCCAACAGTAAAATGGGTACCTGGTTGTTAAACGATTTGAGGGGTCATATTCCGGGGAACATAGGATTAAGGACCTGCCCGAAATGCTATGCGTGCTAATAGCTGTACAAAAATGTAAGAACTCTTGTACATATATAAATAAACTTGGGGACCCTTGGTTGAGAGCCAACAACATAAACCAATATGGCTCCAATCGACTTCGAGCCAACTGCGCTGTTAATCATAATTTTTTACATCACCTTAACTTTATATTTTGTCATTGTATATATGAATATGCATAAATTCTTTCAAAATTGAAAAATACAAATGAGAAAAACTTTCTCAAGAACCAGAGAATTATACACTAATAAACCCTTGCTTAGCTAAAACATGGAATAAAGATACTGTATTACAGTAATAACCCATGGCACTACATTATATATTATATTATATATATTATATACACTATATATATATATGTGTATATATTATATTATATATTTCGGGCAGGTCCTTAGTCCTAATTTTCCCCAGAATACGACCCCCCCCCCAAATCGTTTAACCACCAGGTACCCAATCACTGCTGGGTGAACAGAGGATACAGTTAGGGATTGGTGCCTAGTCAATCTGTCCTGGCCAGGATACTAATCCAGGCTAAAACGCCCACGAAGCACAGGGCATGTGCTTTACCACTGCACCATGGGGACTGCGTCAATATAGGTAATAGGTCCACCGAGACCTGGTTGACCAGTCCAGCAACCAGGAGGCCTGGTCGAAGATCGGGCCGCGGAGACGCTAAATCCCGGAATCATCGCAAGGTAACCTGCATCAATATAGTGCAGGTCCTCCACAGGAACTGCATTTGTATATAGGATATAATGTTTTGTCAATGTAATCATTGTAAAATCTAAAAATTAGTCATGTAGTATGATAAACATGTGCATTTGGGTACTTTGACTTGACTAACTTGAGTTAGGTTAAGCTAAGTTAGGTTTGTATAACATAGTATACATTGTTTTCATTTTACTCTTTATGCTCAATTAGTATTAAGCTTTAGTCATTTAAGTTTTTTATGCCCGAAACGCTTTGCATAATAATGGCTTTAGGCATTGTATGTACTAGCCCTAACTATAAATCCATCACTCTTTGTAAAATCTCTTTTATGTATGTACCTTACCTAAATAAACATTTTGATTTTGATTTTATAATATAGGATATAATAAACTTGCCTAGCCTAGGTCAAGTCTTTAGGCCTATAAATGAAATAATAACTTACTGTATCTACGAGGCCTATGTTTGGTGGCGCGCGGATGGCAGCCTTCAATATTCTCTCCCTCAACCCAAGAAACATTTCCTGCATTCAATACCAGTGGTGGATGATGTATTAACCTTTACCCATCATAAACTAGCCATATCATCCCCCTGTTTTGTGTACACTTTGTGTGACAAACGTGAGACTTATCAGTGTGAACTGGACCCCATTGTGTATACTCGTGGCCATGATCACCAGGGTGTGGCACCCTCACTATTACCTGTGTTGTAATACTCTAATTTCCCCCTCTGTAGGGTGCGTCATCTCCTTCTGTCATGTGTAGCCATAACTTGATGTTGAGTGATGAATAACTTCTGTTGGTCAATACGTGAAGCACGGGCCACAGACCTGTACAGAGCACGGGACATGGACCTGTACATGCGTGATAGTGCACGAGCCCTCAACAGTGACCAACCATCTCACCCGCCCCACCCACTCCCACCAACTCATTACAAAACATATTTTTCTGCGGTTGGAAGAAAACGCTCACCGAGTGGGGCACTTATTTTATTTTTATAATAATAATACTAATTAATTATTACATAAAATAATTAATTAATAAAAATCATAAATGATTATAATTGATAATCCTTAAATGAAGAAGCATAAGCTAATTATAACGAATAAATAGATAATTAAAGAGGATAATTAATTATGGTGACTAATGATGATTAGTGAATAACCATAAATTATTATACAGAAATAATATTAATGGGTAATTCCAATTCTTGGTATTCTTGGCTTATCACTTTGGGGGTTCCGTCGGAGCACCCCCAAAGGTAACACAAATTCGTTACAAATTGGGACAAGTGTCCCCAGCAAACTGCTTTAGCGTCTTCCCTTGGAAAGTAAACCAGGGGATTCAGGGGATCCCGGGAGGAGGGTGGGCGTTTTGTAGTGTGTCGTCTGGGGAGGAGGCGGTCAAGAGGTCGCCGAGTCCATGGGCGCGCTTTAAGTACCCCGCTTGATGCGCGCGCAACTTGAGTCGGTTATACACAAACTTATTATTATTATTTTTTTTGTGATATATACAAGAGTTGTTACATTCTTGTACAGCCACTAGTACGCGTAACGTTTCGGGCAAGTCCTTAATCCTATGGTCCCTGGAATACGATCCCCTGCCGCGAAGAATCGTTGAATTATTTAAATTTTTAAATTTTGCCCGAGGTAGAACAAGATACAGTGTGAGTTTGAAGCACAAGGTAGGAAACTGAGGATGAAATTAGGTACTTTTTTATTTTACTTTTGAACAGGGCATGGGTTGGACAATTGTTTAATTCATCAGGGACTGAGATACAAAGACTGAGCCCTTTTATTTGCATGGAGTGTTTGCACAGATTTAGTCTGACTTTGGGGATATCAAAGAGATATTTATTCTGCGGTTGGAAGAAAACGCTCACAGAGTGGGGGACTTATTTTATTTTATAATAATAATAATTAATTATTTAAATACAAATAATTAATTAATAATAATAGTCATCATTAATGATTAAATACTTGATAATCCTTAAATGAAGAAGCATAATAGCTCATTATAACGAATAAATAAATGATTAAAGTGGAATTAATTATGGTGGCTAATAATGATTAGTGAATAACCATAAATTAATATACAGAATAAAATTAATGGATAGCCGTTATAATGATCAAATACAATGAAGAGAGATCTCTAATTGAAAGTTGTATGATTGAATTACGGTAATTCCAATTCTTGGTATTCTTGGCTTATCACTTTGGGGGTTCCGTCGGAGCACCCCCAATCCCATGAGGGCCAGCGGCGCGGAACCCCCACGCCCCGAATGTTTGGTTTTTCTCCCCCCCCCCCCTCTTCTCCTTTCTAATTGTCATTTCCCGCCGACCTTTTGCCTGTTTTGATTATTCTTTCGGCCTTCTTTTGTTTTGACACCCGGGTGTTTGAGGAGGCATACTCTTGCACCCGTATAACTGTAGTACCCAACGTCTCGAGCGAGGGGACCCTTTTATTGTCAATCTTCCTTTCGTCACTGAACCCGATCTCGGCGGACTGGGTGAATACTAGGTGAATACACACACATAGGAAGCAGTCCGTAACAGCTGTTTCCCAAGTACCTATTTACTGCTAGGTAACAGAGGCATCAGGGTGAAAGAAACTCTGTCCATTTGTTTCCGCCATCGCTGGGGATTGATCCCCGGTCCCTAGGATTATGAGCCTCGAGCACTGTCCACTCAGCCACAGCCTCCCCCCCCCCCCCCAGCATGTTACTCATCCCGTGGGCGGTGGTGGAAAGGGTTACAGAGGCCCATAATGGGTTCAGGAACTGAACCCCATAGTTCGTTTAGCTAAGCAAGTGACAATCTTTTGAAGCTAGTTATACACACACGTACCGAAACTTTTTTTTTTGTTAGGCGTTTGCCACTTTTTTTGTTAGGCGTTTGGTTAGCGCAGTAGTTAGGAAGAAAGTGGCACCTGGGTCTACCTGTGACGGCACCCCCCGATTAAGTGTGCCAGTGTGAGGATTGACTCCAGGGAGGAGGGTGGACTGTTGTGGGGTTGGCGGCTGGAGGAGTTGAGGAGGTCGCGACCTCTGGTGACCACTTAAATACCCCGTTTGTTGCGGGCGCATCCAAGCGCAACTCGCGAGGCAGCTTTTTTCGTCTATACAAAAACTTTGCCATGCAGAATCATTTCTTTCTTCCACTTTATTTATAAAACTTTATTTTCGTTGTTTTACCATTTATAACACCACCCACCTGACTATCACCACTGATACCACCACCAAGCCACTATGTTACACACTATGACATAACTTAAAAGTTACATTAAAACTACTTAATGCTGCAACCATCTTCGCCTTCGATGAAAATTAGTATTTTACGGTGACCGACGGTGAAGGGTACCCGTCACGGCAGAGTTAAAGATGTTAATTAAGGGGGCGGTGGGCACCGTACCTGGACAGTAACCTTTTGTAACCTATCATATCTACACTGGCACGGGGAGGATGATGATTGATAAAGATTAAGCCATCCAAAAGGTGGCACGGGCATGAATAACCCGTAAGTGGTGGCCCTTTTAAGCCATCACCAGTATCAATAGATGAGACTGGAGATCTGTGGAGGTGCGACTACACCCTGCGTGACGGGAGATGTCTCCCGTCACACGGGGAGGAATTTGATTCTTTCTTTTATTATGCACCCCATACCCATCCCGTGGGTGGTGGTGAAAAGGGTTACAGAGGGCACATAATAGGTTCAGGAACTGAACCCCATAGTTCGTTTAGCTAAGCAAGTGACAATCTTTTGGAGCTAGTTACACATTTATTAATGATATATATACATATGTACATATATACAATCATTTACGCAACTTCGTATACACATCAATAATCTTTTTATATCACAAGTGATTCAACAAGAGGCTCACAACACTCACTATACAAAGCACTTTACAACTATGGTCAGTCACACAGTTACTAGTCTTGCTGCACACCCACCCAACTGGGCGGCAGCTTTACAGTCATGTGCAGGCTGCACCTACATTAAGCACATTTGGTATATTTCGCTAAGATTTCTGGCAGTACATCATTATGAATGAAATACTTACACATTTCTTAGACTCCATTGATGGTGTTATCTCTGAACTCCTCGATTTTTCACATTCCATTATATAATGATGCGAGGTATGCGAATAGTTCTGCTGACAGAGTTTACATTTAGTCAAATCTCCATCAACAGATGTCATAAACTCCCAGAGGTACTTGTAGCCGAGCCTAAGCCTAGCAGTGGTAACATCTAGAAGTTTGCTAACCTTATTGGATGACCCATAGACGCGCGGTTCTTCCTGCATAATAGAATGCTGATAGATGGACCAACTGGTGTGAATTTCATGTTGCCTCAAGTCTACGAGATTTTGTTGATGTTCCCGGAATATTACTACCCTCAGGCTGCTCAGAGGCAGTCCAAGAGGACTCTTTATGAGCAAGGGAGCTTTATGAGCTTTATGATTCCCTCTTTGCTTATAAAGAGGGAATCATTTCCCTCTTTATGAGCAAAAGTTTTGTCTAGCTCATCAGTTCTATCATGCGTTCAGAGATCAATATGGGAAGGAATCCACAGGAGACAAACTCCATCATTTATTATTTCATTATATCTGTATCTAGCTTCAGAGATAAGCACGTCACAGTTATGCCTTGGGGGGCTGAGGGCAGCCAAGGATGACACGCTTACAATTAGCGTGTCAACTTTGGATTTATATACGCGCTCGAGTGCAAGGATTATGGCAACCAATTCTGTTTGAAGAGTGGAGGCCCAGTAATCTATACGAGCTCCACACTCATAGGAGAAGGAACCATCTCTCGCTCTCACAACACCTGCACTTCCAGTTGCACCTTGGGACTGATGCAAGGAACCTTCAGTGTAAATATTCTGGGAAAGGGAGCGCTCTCTGACTAAAGCATCAATTTGGCTTAGGCATTGTACTTTGCTTCTTGTCGAAGCAAGGTTTGTTCTTTAATCAGCTTCTTGGGTGGGGAAGGGGGGGGGCAGTAATTTGGAAAGGTGTGATCTCCCATGGGGCAGGAAAGTGTCGTTGTTGTCTCTTGGTAGAGGTGAAACAGGGAGAAGGAGAACACGGTTGACTCTCACTGTTCACTGGCATCCAAATAATTATAAAACATTTTTGATAATTACGGTCGGGAAGAGAATAATTTAATGTGAACAATCGTCACCACAACTTAGGGAGATGTTAACACGAGATTGCCAGAACTTGGACCTGGCAACTCTCTTTGGATGAATAATCAGGAACGAATGGACACACCAGATGGACAGTTTAGTATTATATATTTATCTAATTAGTTCAATATAAACAATCCTAATCTATCTTCCCTATCAAGGAAATAGGATTATCAACACTTGTGATGTTAGAACATAAGGGACCACCAGTACCCACTCAAGATACAGCAGTAATGAAGCTTCCGATCGCCAGTCTTCCTCCCCCTGTGACGCCCACCACTAGACCCCAGACTCCTGTCTGGTCTGAGACACAACACTCACTCACTCACTCCTTCGTTGTTGTTTTAGATTCAGCTACAATGAACAAAAGTTCCATGTAGCACGGGCTATGGTGAGCCCGTAGTGGACTTACCTGGAGTGGGGCTGTATGTGCTCTTTCCCTCTCTGATTGATAAAGATTAAGCCATCCATGTTGTTTAAGATTCGCTACTTGGAACAAAAAAGTTCCAAGTAGCACGGACTATGGTGAGCCCTGATTGATTGATTGATGAAGATTAAGCCACCCAAGAGGTGGCACGGGCATGAATAGCCCGTAAGTGGTGGCCCTTTTGAGCCATTACCAGTATCAAGAGCTGATACTGGAGATCTGTGGAGGCGCGACTGCACCCTGCGTGACGGGAGATGTCTCCCGGACCAAGTGGTGACCAGATGGTCATGGTGAGCCCGTTGTGGACTTACCTGGCACCAGAACCGAGCTGTGTTTTTTTCAAAAGCCTCCCAAGATTGATTGATAAAGATTTAGCCACCGAAGAGGTGGCACGGGCATGAATAGCCCGTAAACCAAGCCACTCAAGAGAAGGCACGGGCATGAATAGCCCGTAATCTCCCTTTTCTCGTAACCAGCTTTTAAACCCCTCAATCCCTAATTTTCCGTTGAATTAACGGACTTGAATCTGGTAACTTCTTGGAACAAAGGATTAGCCCGCCAACCTTTGAAGCTACCCGAGGTTTGTGTGGCCTTACCTCACCTCCCTGTGAAAGTGTGGTAAGTCAGGTGCCCCACACGTCTCCACTCAGGTAACCTCAACAACTGTCACGTCAGGACATTCAACACAGATATGCACGACCGTAAGAGAGACAATGCAGTTCCGACAAATAAGGATCAGGGCGGCGCTCCATTAGATGCCTGTGAGTTAAACGTGTATGGCATTTTTCTAGCAAGAGTAATACAAATTGATGGAAAGAAGCTGTTAAATTCAGCTGTAGTTTCTAAGTCTGTTGCTAGTGTGTAATCATCTTTAGAGAATTTAATCTGTTTTTTATATGATTGTTGTTTAGATCCTAGATTGTTAAAAATGGTTTTCCATGTGCTTTTAATGTTTTCTTTTGCTTCTTTAAATCTATTTACAAAATAGGATAGTTTAGCTATTATTATATTGGTAAGCGTTAATGAGTATCTTAACTAGTTCTTTTGCAATTAGGCAAATCATATGTTTCTTTGTATTCGTGCTTCCCATTATTTACATTAAGTATGCCATTTGTGAGAGATGGATTGTGTAATCTTTTAGCACGGGAGACATCTCCCGTCACGCAGGGTGCAGTCGCACCACCACAGATCTCCAGTATCAGCTCTTGATACTGGTAATGGCTCAAAAGGGCCACCACTTACGGGCTATTCATGCCCGTGCCACCTTTTGGGTGGCTTAATCTTCATCAATCAATTAATCTTTTGTCAGTTACTTGCTTGGTGAGAAGAAGACAGTGTGTGTTGGAGAGGCTAAAAGAGGAAGGTGTCAGTTATTGAATTTTTGTCAGCACAAGTCACACAAGGCTAGACTAAGAGAAACACAGAAGCTAAATAACGCTATCAACCGTTTTTAATTGGTACTGTAAAGCACATTTCTTACATGTGAGATCATTTATGGAAAATGTCTTAAATTCCTGAGTAGATGAGTGTTTGTTTATAAGAGGACGGAGTGTCTTAGCTATATGTTTGGACAGAAACAAATCAGTCTCAGCAACATGTTTAGTTGAAACAAAATACAGAAACTCGTAACACTGTATCACAGGAAGATTCAGGGAAATAAATACACAAATATAATAAATATAAGTATAATAAATATAAAGAGAGTATGAAGCTAAATACAGCTTAGGGTGTAAGTTGCTGGAGACTCGTTAGTCACTGTAATCCTGGAGGAGCTGCACGACGTGGCGGTAGACGACGTCGGCAGCGTTCTCTGCCAGAAGGAAGTCGTTGTGGTTGAAGTTTCGAACTGAAACCCGATGGTCGAGGACCAGATTGGGCAGCTTTGCCGCCGTCAGCCGGACACCCTGAAACATCGAACCGCAACACCGTCTTTATGTATGTATATATATACGATAAATATATATGTAAATATAGGTACGACATATATATATATATATATATATATATATATATATATATATATATGTCGTACCTAGTAGCCAGAACTCACTTCTCAGCCTACTATGCAAGGCCCGATTTGCCTAATAAGCCAAGTTTTCCTGAATTAATATATTTACTATAATTTTTTTCTTATGAAATGATAAAGCAACCCTTTTCTCTATGTATGAGGTCAATTTTTTTTTATTTGAGTTAAAATTAACGTAGATATATGACCGAACCTAACCAACCCTACCTAACCTAACCTAACCTATATTTATAGGTAAGGTTAGGTTAGGTAGCCAAAAAAGCTAGGTTAGGTTAGGTTAGGTAGGTTAGGTAGACGAAAAAACATTAATTCATGAAAACTTGGCTTATTAGGCAAATCGGGCCTTGAATAGTAGGCTGAGAAGTGCGTTCTGGCTATTAGGTACGACATATATATATATATATATATATATATATATATATATATATATGTCGTACCTAGTAGCCAGAACGCACTTCTCAGCCTACTATGCAAGGCCTGTGGGAAAAACCTGCTGGGATTGATATAAGAGGAGACTACCAGGGACTTGTACTGAACTAAATTAAAAATTTACTGTCTGCAAATTAATTCAACTAAAATCTCTAGCTAGGGTTGTAAATCCTAGATCCTCTTTTCCTAATGACAAACTGTGGGCTGTAAGGGACAGGTGGGGTGAATGACTATGTTGATAGAAGTTCCAATCCACCTGTAGACAGGGATCTCACATCAGCTTGTATTTTATACAAGGATAAGATTTGATAAATTCAGTTATCTGACTGAACACTGGCTCTGTTTAAATCAGAGATTTAAACATACATAGTCTAACCTAGTACCATAACTTAACAGCCAATATGTACTTATACTATAAACAACAAATTAAATTGTAAAAGTATAAATAAATGACCTTAAATGGAGTCTTACTGTCAAGTACTAGAAATTATATTCAATTAAATGAACTTATATGATAACTTAAAAATTAACTAAGCAAACAATTGATAACTTAATTTATATATTCAAATATATATGCAGACATATTCAATTTATATGATACAGTTAGCTTGAGTGAATCTCTTCCCACGCTATGGACACTTGTGAGGTTTTTACTTATTGAGGCTGAATTCTTTTCTGACAGAATGGACACTCATGAGGTTCAGTGCTTGGATAAGATTCACAGCTACACTACAATTTTAATAAACTTACTGAAATGTGAGGCTTAGCCTCGCTTTTTAACCAACAGACAGATTTATAGGATATTAAAGTTACACAAGCATACAATTGGCCAATCATACACTAAATAACCTTCAATATACTTCTCTGCCAGTCGGGGTGCCTGTCTGACAAGTTTGCCAGACTGATTAACTCTCTTGTCGAGTTTAGGCACGATATTTTGCTACAGCGTTGCTGTATGATGATCTGGTAGCGTTGCTACGTGATTATCCTGCAGTTGCAGAAGAATGATTCGAGATAAAAGTTTATGAATGAAGGTGGAGGAAACCGTGTCACTGATCTCCACTATACACTCTATTTTATGTGAATGTTCACGGATTTTCCTTGTAGATATTGTCCAGGTACTCCCCCAGTTCTAGAGAGTATTCACTGGCGATAAAAATGTTAGATAAGGTGTCCTTGAGCTGGTAATGTTCGCTAAGGATCAGTCACTTGTTCACTCATTTGTAAACAAACGCGGAGTGCCGCTGGGCTTGTTGGTGGGCGCTTCTCTCCCCCTCATCGCCCTGCCATGCTCTCTGAGCACGGTAGCCTTCAATGAATATTGATTGATTATTTTTTACAGTCTAGACTTATGATTGAAATAAGATGTGATTATAATATAATTAGATATAAGATTTAAAGATTATAAGTAGTATTTGAAAGTACCACTGAATCTTATTAAGGATTCGATTTTTAATCCTACCGGATGTTGAATCAATGTTCCAATAGTTTTTTAATTAAGAAGTCCTTCTAGAAGCTTCTGGATCCTTGAAAGATCATGTACAAAGTCACGTAGGCATCAAAAGGGCCCCTGTTGCGTACGTGTTCATGGTGCCATTGTCATCCAGGATCAAGCTATATAATGAATCTTTAAAGATTCATTATATGATTTTGATACATTTTAGATATGATTTTGATATGATTTAGATATGATATAGAAATTATACATTTCTTAGATGATTATTAGATATGGTGGGTAAAAATTTCCCACATCTTCCAGAGGGAGAGAACTGGCACAGAGTCCAATACTTAGGACAATAGTAACCATATGTATTTATTTACTCTCCATTGGATTGATAATACAAGTGCAGATTTTGCTTGCACTTTTGTGCTGCTGTCCGTTGTGGACGATTGTGTCTGTTAGGAGTCTGTGGGTCTTGTGGAGTTAGAGTGTCTTGAGGTCTCTCAGGATCTAACTGCAGCTGGCTCACTGATTCCATGTGGATGAGTTTGTCCAATGTCTTCAGGGAAGTTGTTCCTTTAGACAGGATTTTGACTATTCTCAAAATCCCCTGACTATCTGGATGGACTGAGACAACTTTACCTAATGGCCAGTCAGCCCTAGGGCCATCACTGTCTACCAAGACAATATCGCCAGGTTGGAGATTAGCTATATTATGGGGGACATTGGCCCCATAGTGATGTTCTCGTAGAGATGTAAGATATTCTTTTGTCCAAACATCATTCCATTTATGGATTATGCTGGACAGATGCTTATACCCCTGAACCAACTCGCTCTGACCCACATATGAGGGATCTCTGATCTCATCATCCACTAGAGATGGTACTGGAGTCAGAAGTCTTCCATACATTAGGTGGGCAGGACTTAATGGCTCATGTTGAGTAGGATCCTCAGACAAGTAAGTCAACGGCCGGTTATTCACCCTTGATTCTATTTCCGTGATTACTGTCTGGAGCTCTTGAAGATTGATTTTCTGACGGTGTAGAGATTTTCTCAAGGATCTTTTTACAGTTCCTATTAACCGTTCATAAAATCCTCCGTGCCATGGGGCTCTCGGAGGGATAAATTTCCATCTGCAATGACGCTGTTCCAGTGTGGAAGTAACTGCAGGATGGGAACAGATTTCCCGTAGACATGCTTCTCCAGCTACCAAGTTTGCTCCGTTATCTGAAATCATCAGCTTAGGGCATGATCGGCGTGCTGCGAATCTGCGGAAAGCTTGAATAAATGATTGAGCAGTCATATCGGGTGTTACCTCTAGATGTACTGCCCTGGTGGTAGCACAGGTGAACAGACAGATGTATGCCTTGATAGGTTGCTTATCTGCAGTCCCTGTTAGATATATTGCTCCTGTATAATCTACTCCTGTCGTTTCGAAAGGTTGTAGATGGACCACTCGTTCCTTTGGTAGGGGTGGTGGCCCTGGATAAGAGCAAGTTTTTGCATCGTACCTTCGGCATATCATGCAATTCTTCAAGATTGATTTGACTGACTGTCTTCCCTGAGGAATCCAGTACTGCTGTCTGATTTGTGTGAGTGTGTCTAACACTCCTCCATGTTTGATGATTTGTTGATGTGTATGCAACACAATCAACCTTGTGATCCAATGATTTTTTGGTAAAAGCCATGGATGCACGGTATCTAGATTGATATCTGCGTGTTTAAGTCTCCCTCCACAACGCAGAATGTTGTGATTTTCTTGGTCTATCCACAGACCGAGATTGTGTTTTAACTTATGCGGAAGATTTTCATAGTTATTCCCATAAGTTTCTCTCTGGGCTTGTCTTACCCAATAGATAAGTGCATCAGGAAAAGTGTATTTTATACCTTTTTTCCTGAGATAATGAAACACGTTCTGTGTTACATTGATTAATTTGATGAGCGAGGAGTAACGAGTACAATCCAAGACTGATATTTGAGCTTGCTGCCTGGTGGTAGTTACGGTTTGTGTCGTAATGACGTGTGGCTTTTGTTCAGGCCAACTACCATTCACTAACCATCGAGGCCCATGAAACCAAATATCTGCCTTTGCAAACTGTTTAAATGTCATACCTCTTGATAAGAGATCAGCTGGATTATCCTTTGTTGGTACATGCAACAATTGAAAGCCTGCGGAAATTTCTTTAATTTCCGAGACGCGATTTTTTACATATGGAGTTGGACAGTTGTCGTTTCGTACCCATTGTAAGACAGCTTCATTGTCAGACCATATAATGACATCTTTGATGTTCATGGTAGACAAGACTTGTTTGATATGCACTGCTAAGCGTGTTCCAGTTAGCAGTGCTGTTAGTTCCATCTGAGGCAAAGTCCTCTTTTTTAATGGAGCGACTCTGGCCTTAGAGGTGATAAGATATGATTGATTAGAAGTCACTAAGTAAGCACAAGCTCCAAAAGCTTTGGCTGACGAGTCTGCGAATACATGTAGTGATACTTCTTCATTTTCCTCGACTATGTGTCTCGGAAAGATTATCTTTTCAACTAAAGTTTGTTCTTGAGCCACTTCCATCCAAGCTTTTTGTAACTGGATTGGTAGTGGATCATCCCAACCAACCTTAGCTTTCCATGCTTCTTGCACTAATAAACGCCACTTGATAGTCAAAGGATTTAGTAGACCAAGTGGGTCGAATACTTTGCTAACTTGTGAAAGCAAATCCCTTTTTGTAGTGATGTTGTAATTTACTGGCACAGATTTGATCGATATTGTGTCCGAGATTAAATCCCAATCCATACCTAACACCTTTTGTGATTCTGGTACGTGATATTCAGGGTAATCTCTTGCTATTTGATTATTCAATGTTGCATTATTAGAGGCCCAAGATTGTAGTGGCATGTTGGCACCTTGTAGCTCCTTGTTGGCCTCTTGATATAATTGTAACAGTTCAGTAGTACTGTTAACTGTCCCTTGAAAATTATCTACATATAGATTTTGACTGATTTCAGTCTTA